AAATCGATTTGTCGAGGCTAGAATATTCTATATAGAAAGTTTCAACATGTTCAGCGAACGGGGTCAAAGTAAAGCCTAGCCGGAGTTGCATTAGAAATTTTCGCTGAAAATGTTTAGAATGTTCAGTTTTGAGTGCAATTGCATCAACAGATTGGTATCTGAATAATGAGATAATTTATTGGAATCCATGAGCGAAGTTTACGCAAAAATCGAACCCAATTGTTGAAGTTAGCAGACCAATCAATCTGATTATTTTTGCGAGAAAAGTTGTAAAAGGTTAAATTGAAAGTGACAATGGATGAGCAAGATGTTGATGAAGATGAGGTTCATTCAATAAAGATAAGCTGAACAAGAAAAGTAAAGTATTCAATGAAAAAGTGAACCACAAATTTGGTAACATAATAAAGATGAAAAAACGAAGGATAAACTTTAAACCTTGCCTTTCCTTGCGACTTTATCTTCATCAATTTTCTTGTCATCTTATGATGATGATCATGATGATGAAAGAAAAACAACATTTATTCTTTTTTCTCTCTCGCCATCTTATTCCTCGATTCTTTCTTCTGCCTCAACAATTGACGCTATCATGTGAAGGAACACAAAATGGGCTGAGGTTACTTTACAGGCTTTCCTTTTGTACATTATTTCAACTCCCAACTGAATAGCGATAACAAAACTCTTTCAAGTTTCTCTGTTTTTTATCTTCTTTCTCATGCTACTTGTTTGTCTTCATGTGATTCTTTCCCTTTCAAGTTTCATTGTCATCCTCATCATCAATGGATATTTCGTTGGCTCCTATCAGCTATTAATATATTTTTCACGTTACAATGAGTTAAGGGTCAACTTCAATTGAATCTATTCCCTGATTAGACTCATGATTGAAGCAAGAAAAGCCAACCAAGTGATGAAACAATCAAAAAACTGTTTTTCTGTCAACTTCATCAGCACCAATAATCTGAATTAAAAGTTCAACTTTCAGAACAATGTTTCATCTCAATATGTGAATATCAAGATGAATCTTTCAATTTCAATGTTGGACGATTTTACATTGTTTCTTGACTTTTTGTCGAAATCTTTTTTTTTGCATTTTCACTGGCATTCGTTTCATTCAGAAAAGGCAAAATCAGTTGAAGATGGAAAAGAAAAGTTTTGCAATAAAATTAATTGCGATTCGAGTAAACATTTACAAAGATTAATGGTGCAACTCGAGTTATCAATCAATAACTTTTTTTCCGTTTACTTCATTACAATATTGTTCTGATGGTGTTTCAGTCTGAATTTGAATGTTTTCAACTTCTTTTTTTTCTTGACGCATTTGAACTTTTTTTTCTTCGTTTCTTCTTCTTTTTTATATTCCATTTTGCAACTCAAATTGTTCCCTTTTTTAGGGTGTCACTGGTTCCATACTGATCTGAATGCTAATCAATTCTTGCTTGTCATATGCACAATCATCAAGGGAACTTGTACGTTTCATTCATTTACTCAGTTCAAAATCGACTTTTTTATTTCTTTCAACAGAACACAAAAAAAGTAAAAAGCCAAAAATATCAACTTTTTTATTCCAAAGCTGCCACTTTTACTCATCCAATCATGGACAAGTTGTGTTCACAATGAAACACAAAATTGCCTTTCAATGTCGATATTTGTTTTGCATTTACTCGACCAACGATAATCGTTGAATGCTGCTTTTTCAATCGTAATTCAAAGCCTTTGTTACCAAAAGAAAACATCAACAATTTAGATTGAAGGGAAATGCAGCAACATGAAGGTTCCATTTGCAAATTTCAATGAAACAATAGATTACATTAAATCGACAATCACATTTGTATCATGTGAAAAAGAAACATTTACAGAAGAAAAGAGGAAAAAATTGAAAAACAAATTTTTGCAGAATAAAGATTTCGATTGAAGGGATTGATCAAATGGATAAACAATGTTGACCATTGATGAGTTTAATCCTTGGTCAGCTTTATCCAAACAACCTTTTGAGTTGAGAAACAAGAATAAAGACTTTTCTATGCTTTTCAAGTCTCCCTGACATTATCACGGCAATTTGGATGTTGCACTTGAAATGGTTCATGACAAAATCTTGAATTTGTTTACCCATTTCACTAGCCAAATGGTTGTTGCACAGCAAATTAAATTGATTCAATCAATCTTTTCTCATCCAATGTAAACAATGTTCATCTTGATCATCATTTTCGTCTTCTTCTTCGTCTTCATTCTTTCATTATATTGCCATTATTGTTATTAACTTTATGACAAAAGGTGAAGAGAGTAAATGCTAAATAAATATCAAGTGAAATGAAGTTGACACGAAATTTAACTCAATGTTGCTATTAATAATGACAAGTTTCAAAGTAAATTAACTTGTTATTAAGTTAACAGTTAAACAATTCAAGTTTTCAAATGAAATATTAAATTTACAAAAGCAAAACTTTAATGTCAAATGTTTGACAAATTGTGAAATTAATTTCAGCTAATCAACTTGTTTTTTTCAGCATTTACTCGACTCCATGGTTACACTATTGAAATTGAGTTTGCATATTTAATTGTGTTTTAAGCGCTAGAAAAAAGAATGACAGTTGACTGAATCTCATCATTTCCTCTTCACCAAATTATTATTGAACAATTTTCTTCATCAGCTATAAATATTAATAGTTCTAATTCAAAGTAATTTACAGACGATTCCAGCAGTTTGTATTTAAATTGAACAATTTTAATGTTTTTCTTGGTCAACATTTGAAATAAACATTCGATAATTGGACAGTTAAATGGTTAAATGGGAAAATCTTTATTGATCGTTATAAAACTTGGAATCGATTTCGAACATTTATTTTTAATAAAATGTTGAAAATCAATAGTAATGGACATTTGCTGTTACTTGTTGCACAGTTGGGTTCAGTTTTGTCTTTCAATGTTGATGATTAGTTGAGGTTTTTAATGCAATTGCACTTTACTTTAACAATGAAACTCTTTATGGTTCATCTTTTACCATGTTTGACTCATGATGATGAAAGTAGGAAATGAGCGAAAAGTCAAGTTCGACTTTTGCTTTCTTTTTGCTTCATGTTTCGCACTTTTCTTCTTCTTTTCATGGATTTGGGCAATTTACTGAGAATCATGATGATGAAGAATTTTCTTTTCTTTTCGTAAACTATCAACGTAAACTTCGGAATAAATTGGTCATTTTTTGTGCAGTTAAAGTAATGGTAAATTAGTTTAAATGGGTGAAGAGCAGATGAAAGGGAAGAAGATGCCTGATGAAGATGATAGAGTAATGATGATGACACGATTGTGAGCTATGATATGAGCTAAATGTAGTGAACAATTGAGGGAAAGTTGAATGTAACCTCGTTGTTTTCGTGCTTTTTTTAAGTTCATCTTCTGGTGACAGTTAATTGAATGTCAACCAAGCTTGAATGGTTGGTTAATTTCTTGAAAATGGTTGACCCATGAGGATTCACATTTGCCTTTATCTGGAGGAAAAAATAGAAAAAAAGTTTACGATGAGAATGAACAGGAATCATGATGAGCTGGAAAGAAATGGAACAATCGAAAGGTCAAACTTACAAAATCATCAAAAAAATTGAGCATTAATTGCTTCTTTGGTCATTAAACATTGTCTTTATTTCATTGCGTCTTCAAAGTTTATTAAAGCTTGGCTAAGATTGGAAACAATGTAAAAAAGAGCTCAGAACAAAAGTAGTATTTTCATGAGCAAATCAGCAAACATTTGCTAACCAAATTTTACATTCATTTTTGCCTTATCCGTTTGTTCCGATTGCTTTGGAATACACAAGCTAAATGTCAAACTTTAAAGTTTGGTTGAGTCCTAATTCTGAGCAGAAAGTGCCATACAATTTAGTCAGATCCTCTTCAGATCATTCAGTTCGATAATGGCTAGATAATGATCATGCACTTTATTAACAATCTTGAGTTTGATCGTTTTTAAGACAAAAGTTGATCAATGATATCTGGAAATGAAACTTCAGCCAAAGTCTCTAGATTCATACTTTACTTCAATGATGCTAATCGCTGAAAATGTTTGAACTTTTCGATTTCAAAAGTCTTTACAGTAATCTTTGTTTGTTCACCTCTATTAATGCCTTAAAATGGACTTTCCAACTCCTTACTGGACTGACTGAATCGACTTAGAACGTTGTTAAATTGAAAGGGAACCGATTTTTAGCATTATCTTGAAAGCGTACTTTTCTGTACTCGAGACTATCAGCTTAAAATAATGATTTGATATTAATTCAAAAATTGATTCCAGAAATGATTGTTTCGCTGGGAATAAGGTATAAATTTAGTTATGGTAGAAAGATTTTTCAATTAAATTAGTATTTAAGGATAGGAATTGAATCAGGGTTAAGAGAGATTTAAGAAGTTGAACAAGATGAAAAATGAGTAAATACAGTAAATGTAGTTGGTGTTGCAGAAGGGCGAAGATGAAGATGAAAGTAAAATATGGCGAGAAGATATGAAATGATTAATAAAGCACATCATGTAATAACAAATGTCAACAAATTTACTCTTCTTTTTGTTTTCTCACCAACTTTCAAGTTGTATCAATACCTTGAGATTATCATCATTATTGTATTTTGTCTTCAACTCACACACGCAAAATGATTATCAGTTTAATGTTGAAATGATGAAAGTTTCCGGTTGTTAGATGAATGGAAAATGATAAAATTGAAATTGAATAAAGGCTGTAAATAAGAGCTGAAAATCGCTCAAGAAACTCGATTAGAAGCTTATTCAAGCTTAACTTTTTCTCAGTAAATATGATTACCATTATGATGGTAGTGAAAACACCAAAACAACAACAATTTTCGATTTAATTTTCCTTTTCTTTTTTTGGTTAACGTTTATTGACAAAGGTTCAACTTGAAGTCTAGAACATAAAATGTTGCTCTTTAACATGGAGGTTGATTTAAATTTCAACCAATTTTTGACTCAATTTGCCTTTATAATGAAATGTCTTTTACTTTTCCTAGATTGCCAGAAGACGAGTTAAAAATCGACCTGGAAACAAGTCGGTTGTTCATGTGAAAGCAGATGAAAGCCTTCGAAGTACATCCAATGGTAAACCCTTGGCCTTGGTTGAAACTGAATATCGGTCAACAGGAGGCAACAATTTACCAATTAAACCACTAATCATTGAAGAGTCTCGCTATTCGAGGAGCGATGAGAAAGAGACGAGTTCACTTGAACGTGGAGTTGGAGGCATCAGTGAGGTTGGTGTTGTTGTTGGTGGTGATAATTCCGATAGTTCATTTAATATGGCTCAAGTACCAAGCTGTGATAAAAAGGGAACATCAACAGTCCTTGGAATAGATAAAGCACTTCGACTGAGAAATAAAAAGGATTCATCAAACAGTAAACGAGAGGGTAAAACAGCCAAGATTCTGGCCATTATAACGGGAATTTTCATCGTCTGTTGGTTACCCTTTTTTGTTCACGCACTAGTAACAGCTCTTTGTGGTGAAGCGTGTGAAGCTGCGCCGCCTTTGTACAGCATATTCCTATGGCTTGGTTATGCCAATTCACTGCTTAACCCTGTAATATATACAATATTTAGTCGGGATTTTCGTAATGCTTTTAGAAGAATCCTGTTTGGTGCTAATCCAAATCGAATGTGAATCCATTTTCATCTCTTTATCATCCTTTTCTCCCTTTTCTCGATTGGTTTGTTATTTTGGATTCCACACTTTTTTGTTTCCCTTCAATTCGCAGCTGATGCACAGGGAATAAGATGAACAAGGAAAGACTGTTGACATTTGGGATAATGAGCATCACACTGATCATCAGAATGATGAGGAAAGAGTAAACATTGATAAAAATAATGTATAACAAGAGCATGAAAATTTGGGAAATTGTATACCAAAATACTTAATAGTAACAACTACGAGTAATGTTATATACAAATACTAATAACAATAACAATAATAATATTAATAATAATAACAATAATAATAATAAATATATACTAATAATATAATCAAAATAATAATAATCACAAGAATAATCATAATCATAATAATAAGCATGATAACAATAAAAATGAACATAATGCTGAATATTAAGAATGAAGATGATGTTGATGGTGATGAGTTGGATGAAGATGCTGATGTTGATGATTATAATACAACAAACAAAATGCTATGTATAATATAAATACATGTTTATGCATTGCTTTTTTTTCAAGCCAAATTATTTACTTTAGGTTTTTTTAGTTTATATTCTTGCTGTGTTTTGTCCTTTTTTTGTGGCTTGTGGTCCCTTTGTGTCTTTCATAGTTGATTCAATTATAAGGTCAATAATGGCAACAAACATTACGTGATGAAAATGTCTTGATCATTCGTACGCACTATCTGGATGAGTTTATACCAAAGGCTATTCATAATGTTATTAATATTTGAAATAATAGACAGGATTTATTACCAGAATAACCAAAATCTCTTTATGGCCATTATCTATAATTAAATCTTTGGGGCTCTAAATGTTGATACTGAAAATGAAGAAAATAAAAGAAGAGAGATTGAAATATGAAAACATGTCACGTAAAAAAGGTAAGTGTTGAGAAATTGGAATAAATTTTACCTTCGAATTGGGATTGAATTGAAATTTTCGGAAAATTATTCACTAAAAGATCCGAGTGTGTCTAGAAATTGAAGGTTTTACAGTTGAGAGCGATAGAGTTATGTAAATGTACCAAGTGGTTGCAGGTTTGCCTCAAAGATGGTTTATTGACTCGTGTTTGGTGTTTGACTCTCATTTTCCCATCATCATAGACATAGGTGAATTAGACCACATCATTTTAGGCATCATCATAGATGATGGGCCAGACATCATCATGGATGGAGGTGAAGGCATCATCATTGAGGAAGGAGCATGCATCATCATTGAAGGTGGCGAAGGCATCATCATAGCTCCAGCTGAAGGCATCATCATTCCAGATCCAGTCATCATCATGCCAGGAGCATCAGCCCATTTCATCATCATAGGACTTGGATGGCTCATCATCATGTTATTGCCACCATTGCCCATATCAGCGTTCATAGTCATAGGCATGGACATCGACATGGAAACAGGCATCACCATAGACATTGGAGATGGAGCAGGCGATGGAACTGGTACGGGAATGGGGATCGGCATAGGCATTGGCATTGGCATTGGGGAGCTCATGTGCATAGGCATTGGACTGATATTTAGAAGGAAAGAAAATGAATTTTCAATGGTAATAATAATATCAACAGGTAGCTGGTTAGGTTGATGAAAAAAGAGTCTCACCTTGGCATCCTGGAGAAACATTGACAAGTGAAGAGGAAAAAAATTGAAATTAATTTAACATAATACAATATTAATATTCATGTGAATATTGATACATACGGAAGCATCATAACTTGTACATTTGGTGGAGGAGGAGATGAAGATTGTTTCTCTGAATTTGATGGACTCATTGGGGCTGACTTTTCTGATGAATAAATTTGCATTACTGGACAACAACCACCACCACCACCATCACCACCTCCTCCAGAAGATTTTTTCATCATCATTCCATCATCATCCATTCCCATCATTGACATCATTGGCATCATCATTGATTCATCGCCCATTGGATTCATCATCATTCCATCGCAGTCTGTGGTATAAAGAAAAAGAATAAATGAGAAAAGGAAAATTAAGTAAATTGTTGAACAAAGTTGGTAACTAGCTTCTAATCAATTGTAACTTCCTAGAGTTTCAAAATGAAATTTATCCAGACCTTGATGGGATATCTTTTTAGACAAGACTAACGGTGATAAATCACATTCAAGTTAAAATTTTGACCCAAAATGAGAGTTACTTAATTGAAACTGTTTCTCTCTCGTTATTCTGATTTGTTATGTGACAATATTGCAAGTAGACCAAGTTAACCAACAACCGTCTGGTTAATTTGATTTGAAATCGGTAAAACAGATTCAGTCAGTTGTTTCTTGTTGTCTGGATAGTTAATTAGCTAATTGCAAGCGAATGGGTTTAGTGAAGGAAATAATGAAAGAGTAAAGAGGTTAGAGTCTTGGCTTTAAAAAAGATTACAAGAAAAGAAGACATTAACAAAAGGAAACGAACAAATAATGGAAACTTGAGGCAACCCAGAATTCATTCTAATCAAGATTGATCAATATCATGATTATATTAATAATTTAATAGTTTAATAATGATATTAATGCGAACAGAACATGGAAATCTGCTAATCACAAAGCTGTTCTCAAAAAAATTGATTCATTTTAGTTGACAATGTTTTTAGGCAACTGCTATGGAATAAAAAAAAACACTAACGAGAAAAAACTTGATCAATTTGAGTATGGCTCTGGTTATTTGATTTGAATGTACATAAATTTATGGGAATTATCTAGATGCTGATTATGAAGCTGGTTAATTTATTTTGAAGGCTGAAAGGTTATCGAGAAATGATTTTGCGATGCAATAAAGTTCACAATAGATGTGACGAGAGAGAGAGATGAATAAATGAATTATGATCATAATCAATGATGATGGATGTGAAAAGGCATATCAAGATTTAGATACTCTTCGTCTGTGTGAGTGTGTCAAAATTTTCAAGCTAAGGATAGAGAGCTTAAAAGTTGAATGAGAGATTCCTTAAATTGTTGTGAACAACATGGCGCATGAAGGCGAGATGGATGGAAATGTAGCAGAAAAGGATGAAAGGCAAGAAATTGGAAAATATTGAAAAGACTGATATTCATACACAAATTCTGATGGAGAGTTTCAAGACATGATTTGACCCCAATTGTGAGAGTTAAATCTTAGAGAGGAAAAAACGATTGGCAATGAACCAAGAATAAAATTCCTCAAAATGAGCCATATCGAAAGACAACACCTGAAGAGAATGGAAAGAATCAAAACTGTCCGGTCTTCTTGAAGATAGTCAGGCCCATCATGCTAATTCCGAAATATCTATACATTTATGGACCTCTTTTTGGACTGAAGAACTCATGAATATATTCTGATGATAGAGGAACCGAAGAGGATATTGAATTACTAATAGTAATTGGTGGTATTGGGTAATGAGTAAAACAATGTTGAAAAAGACACAGAAAAGTATCATCGAGAAAAACATGATGTAAACATAAGGGTCAAACGTGATTTCAATTTTGATGAGAAGGTTCTTGGTGAAGATGATGATGCTAATGGTTGCAAAAATTACACCATAATTTACATCAATTCTCAGTAAAATGGTTCTCTCTGCAGGTCTGTTAATTACACTTTTGATAAATAGTTATCTAAATAGACAAAATCTGGTAAAAAGGGTTCAAGATTAGCCATGAACCATTTACACTAAGCCATCATTTTGTTGATTGTCGTCACTATCATCATTAAGACAAGCATCTGGAAATAAAATAGAGGAAAAAGAAGGGATAGAAAAAATGTATCGTCTTACCTCCATCACAATTACCACCCATAGATCCGTCTTTGCCTTGAAGTTAAGAATCATTAAAAGAGATAAACTTGAAAACTTGACCAAACGTAATTTCCATTAAAATGGCAGTTGAAGAGGTAACACTTATGTCTACAACGGATGCTGGACACTAGATTGAAATTTGAATGGTTAATTAATAATATCAACTTACCCATTTTTTTCATGTATTTCATGTCCATCATTTTACCATTTAAAGGATTATAAATAAGAGACGTAATGGAAACAAAGAAAACCAAAAGGGGCGCTAAAAACATGATGATTCATTCGCTCAAATATAATCTTTTGGTTAATGTAACTAAATCTAGTCTTGTTTGTTGTCGTTTCACCACTAGTAGAGATTTAAGTTTAATTATTAATTTTGATCAAGTTTGTTAATCTGATGTTCGTTCTGCCTTCAATTAACTGTTAATTCAAGATGATAGATAATCAAGTAAAACGGTTCAATCATTTTCTGGCTTACAGATCAAAAGGAGTCATAATCAGGGTTGAAAGAGGTGAGTAATGTGTTTTGTTCATTATTGAACTGCCTTTTCTTGTTCTTGTTTTTTCTTTGTTTTAAATCTTTTCATTAAACTGATTTTGATTTAATCTGGTGTACATTTAGGTTAACATAGTGTGGTGATCATTATTGTTTTCATGAACCGTTTTTGCCGTCATAATTGGAATGTTACACAGCTGGTTGTGGATTGTGTTGTTCAATAATCCTTTATATTTCCTGTTTTCTCGGCTATAAAATCTTTTCAATTTTCCTATTTTCCCAGCCTGTTTTTTTTCATTCAACATCGTATTTCTGGTCGAATTATCTTAACCTTGATTAAAGAAATCAATTTTGGAAGGGTCAACTAAAGAAATTCTTTGCAACATGCATAAAACGATAATTGGAAGATTGACACAAACTCTGGTCTTCATTTGCTGTTAATTATTATTTACTAGAAAGATTCAATATAACAGGAAGCCAAATTATGACCCACAGTCGGAGAAGACGACAATGATGGACTCGATAATGATACATGATATAAGCAACTGTAGTTGATGAATTTATCTTGATGCAACCATAACTCGTATCCATGTGAAGCTTCATTCTAATAGGATTTTCCTTTCAATCTTGGTTTTTTATTCTTGTCTATTAAGTGACAATTCCACTTTTTATAACAAGTCTAATTCATCATTTGCATGTAATGTGAAAAGAAACGGTCAGACTATTTGGTCTCATCAGAGGAAAATTTCATCCACATCAATCAAATTATTCGTTCCATTATGATTACCTATGTGTACATTGTGCATTTTTTTCTCATGTGTGTATACCAATTTAAGATTCAACATTGGACAACAATGAAAGCTATTTTGGTGTGCTTTGATTATGTGGAGACAAATTTAATAACAGATTAATATTTTCCCATAATTCAATTTGTTTTCAGTTACATGATGGACATCATTTGATATTGTCAATCAAACAAGAAAATTTGGTATATTTTCAATTAGAAACCACCACTTGATTGGCACCTTCTTCATCTTTCGCAGACTCTGTTAAATAAGTCCGACAAAAAATTATGGTTAATCCATTGATGTCCAAATGATGATTCTTACTCGTTAAACAATTTGTCGTTAATTTACTGAACATTTTAGATGGATAAACTAGTTGCATCTGTCAAAAATAAGAGCACCTTAACAAGAAATGATAGATCGACACTCAATCATATTCGTGAGCATCTCCAGAACTTGTCGAAACAGATCTAAAGTTTTGTTTAGTTTACTTTAAAGAAAATTCATCTTATAAAAGCCCAATCATTCTATTACTCATTGGTTCTTTGACATTCCAAAATTGAGAATTGGAAACTATGGAACCTGCAGCATGTCTTTATTAAAGACTGATGTACAATAAAAGACAATTTGATAATCTTTTTATTTATTTTTTAATTTGAATCACTATTTCGGAGTAGAAATTTATATTTGGAGCGAGTCTTCATATGATCAACAATATAGTCAATAGATGGCATTGTTAGTCAAACATGTGTTAATTTACAAAATAAAAATAATGTTATGTTTATCTGTTTTAATTATTTATTGTAATTAATTGTGATCTGATTATCATCGGAAATGAATTTGATGTCAATTACAAGAGGCTGCTTCAAAGGTAATTTTAAACAGATCTTTACTTCATAGTATAAACCTTTATTCATTAAGACTTATTCTGTTACAGCTTCGAATTTATTGCAATCTCAAAGAGTTGTTCCCATAACTATTAAATTTAACAGTAAACTTGCGGGTGAAACCGACCAAAATGCCAATACAAATGCTGACATTAGTCTTGAGAAAGCTGAATTGATGAAAAGGCTTGCTAAGTAAGTAAAGTTTCTTCATTTTCCGTAATCATTTAAATTGTTTAGAGATATTGACTTGAACTATTTTTTTCTGTCTAGAAAATATCTGGTTGATTCTTTGCCATACCCAAAAGTTAGTAAAGAAGACCGAGAATTTCTGTCTAAAGGATTCATCACTGAAAAATTAGAAGTCAAAGTTGCCGACCAACCTATCAAATATCTACCGGAACTTGATCCAGATTCAGAGCCATTTAACCATATTTATAAAGATGTTGATGATAAAGGATTTTTCACTCGTACCGAAAACATAACTGAAAAAGATCCTGACAGATGGTTCTGGGTTGAAAGACTGATTAAAAGAAAAGAATTATCAGACTATCCGAAATACGCTGACCAGGAACCTGACAAGCAAAATTTTCCGTCTGGTTACACGCCGATTAGCAAAACTAAACCTAATTTACCATATTTCATACGTCGAACTCGATCTGGAATGTTTCCAGTTTATAAATTGATTAATGGGAATGATGAAGTTCATACATTCATTAAATTTATCGATGGGGATGTTTGGAAAGCGCGTGATGATATTATTAACTATTTAAAAAGTATCAAACAGCTTACTGTTGAGGATAATTTGGTTTCAGTGAATGAAGTCAAAGGAGCACTTACTTTCAAAGGGAATCATGTGCTGGATGTAGTTGGCTTTTTAAATGATAAAGGTTTCTAGTAATAGTTGTATCAATGTAATAAACATTTTGTTAAATAAAAATAGCACCAATTTTGTACATAAATTAAATTCACATTTGATTATGTCAGCCAAATTAAATCAATTGAAAATCTAAATGAGGAAAATGTTTACTGACAATGTCAGAAATGCAATTGTTGTCCTCTATTGAATCATCTGATGGATTTTACGTATAGCTTTAAATATTTTGGCTCATCAGGCCTACTGAAATCTCGCCTTGATCTGGTTGCCTCATATTGATGGGCTTTTGACGATTAACCATGGCTCTTAATTCTTCAAGTGAACCTCTTAGTTTTGGCTAAATTTGGTTATTGAAGGTGTCTCAGTTCGTTTAGTTAAAAACCTATCTGGTCTCAAAATAATGTTATTAAACAAGATAAACGATCAAATTATTCACACATTTAAATGGATGCTGCTTCACCCGAGTCTTTGTATATTAATTCATTATCATCCTCAGCGTCTTGAGTTATCAATTAATACACGCGTCTACTAATGATTAATAGAGTCTAAATCAGTAAGGTTTAGAGAGTATTTCATAGGCGTAGTCATTTGTTAAATGCTGGTTTACCTTTAACGCTCAATCAACTGAAACTGAATTTGTAGGCAACGACTGTAAAATTCAAATTATGTTCTCACTGAATCTCTCAATTGTAATTTAAACCGAAAAAATTTTCCTTAAAAATAAAAAGACAATGAATTTTGATTACCAAAATTTATTTATTTCATGAGATGATACAATTAAAGAAATTTGTATCTTTTAATTTTCTTAAAGTTGACCACCACGAAGTCGTAATACTAAATGTAAAGTTGATTCTTTCTGAATGTTGTAGTCAGAAAGGGTTCGACCATCCTCAAGCTGTTTACCAGCGAAGATGAGACGCTGTTGATCAGGTGGGATTCCTTCCTTGTCTTGGATTTTAGCCTTGACATTTTCAATGGTGTCGGAAGGTTCAACTTCCAAGGTGATGGTTTTACCAGTGAGGGTTTTGACGAAAATTTGCATACCACCACGAAGTCGCAAGACCAAGTGAAGGGTAGATTCTTTTTGAATATTATAATCACTGAGAGTACGACCGTCCTCGAGCTGTTTACCAGCGAAGATCAAACGTTGTTGGTCAGGTGGGATACCTTCTTTGTCTTGGATTTTGGCTTTCACGTTTTCAATAGTATCAGAAGGTTCAACCTCAAGTGTAATGGTCTTACCAGTAAGAGTTTTTACGAAAATTTGCATTCCACCACGGAGACGCAAGACCAAATGAAGAGTAGATTCTAAATAAAGCCAAAAAAGGATAACACAATTATTTAAAAGGCAACAATAATGTAAACTAGCCTCCTAACAATCACTCAAAAGGAAAGCTATTATATAGGATATAGGTCAAGAATAATTACCTTTTTGGATATTATAATCAGATAATGTACGTCCATCTTCGAGTTGTTTTCCAGCGAAGATCAAACGTTGTTGGTCGGGGGGAATACCTTCCTTGTCCTGGATTTTAGCCTTGACGTTTTCAATGGTATCGGAAGGTTCAACTTCCAAAGTAATGGTTTTTCCAGTGAGGGTTTTAACGAAAATTTGCATACCACCACGAAGTCGTAAGACCAAGTGAAGGGTAGACTCTTTTTGAATGTTGTAATCGCTCAGGGTACGTCCATCTTCAAGCTGTTTACCAGCGAAGATCAAACGCTGTTGATCGGGTGGGATACCTTCCTTGTCTTGGATCTTGGCTTTAACATTTTCAATAGTGTCCGATGGTTCAACCTCAAGGGTGATGGTTTTTCCAGTAAGAGTCTTGACGAAAATTTGCATGATGAAAATCAATTGAAAGTTGACAAAGGTTTAAAGATTAGAAATTGAACAAAGAGAAAACTGTAAAATTGAGTGAGAGTTTGATACGCAGTTAACCAACAATAATCGTTGAATAAAGCTTTTCCTTGAAGTAATGCTGCTTTTAAAGAGAAACTGGTTTACCAACCTAAAAAGGGGGAAGAAAGACAAAGGCTTGAAAGGTGTACTTCTGCTCACTTTATACCAATCAGAAGCTGATTTAGAGTTCTCTTTGATCACTTTCAGCCAATAGAAGAGCTTGTAACTGTTACCAAGGGGGTCGACACTATCGATAATTCGATAGTTGAAATGAGGAAATATCGATGAGTCAACATGGCTGAGTCAAAACATTTGTTTTGTTAATAGTTACGTCAACGATTTTTATTTTTATTTATGTTACCTTTTTAACGATTTTTTATCATTATTGTTATTTTTGTATAAATACGCTGTTAATTGTTTGTTTGGTTTGAATTTTTTATTCTCAAATTGTTAACCTAATCATGAAGCGTGTCATTCTGGTTCGGACTTGTGGTAGTCTCACTTTAAATGTGACCCCAGCTTCTAGTCCAGATAAAATGAAAAAATCGATCAATTCAGCTTTTAAAAAATGGTATGATACAATTAAAAAAGTTCCTTTCCAATTGATACAATCTGATTACGTTCTGGATGGTTCTTGTGGTCCTAAAGAAACATTGGGTTCTTTATATAAATACATCAAGGATTCTGATTATTCTGAAATTGAGGGTGTAAAAATGTCAGCTGCAACCAAGGCTACAATGTTTGAGAAATTGTTTGCTAAAAGATTGGCAGAACTTTCTCCAGTTCAATTGACATTTAACCTTGATGTGGATGATGGTGGTGGTGAGAAAACTGGTAATAGCGTAAATGTTAGTGAGACTAAAGTTTTGCTCATTGATTATGCTTCAGAGAAGGAGTTAAAGTTTAATATAAATATTGATTTGGTTGATGAGTTTGCAGAGGACACAGGACTCAAGGGCTTACCTAAAGTTTTAACTACCTCCTTGCGACGTCAAATTGAAGAGATGAGAGCCTGTGTTCAAGTCTTTTTTGATTTAGACACTAATAAGATTCATTTGCCCAAGGCTTATCATTTTCGTCTCAAGGATCATTCACCCAATTTATTGACTCTCATTTATCCTGCCTCATTGTCTGACTCTGAATTGATTGACTATAGACGGAAACTTCATGAAAAATTGGCATTGCCCTTAGATCGCCCTTATATCCGTAAAGCTAATTCACTCAAGCTTGATGAAAACAGTTATAAAAGCCGTTATTTAATCAACCCACACGTTACTGTTCCTTCGTCTGGATTAGAATCTGGTAAAGTTACAGCTGTTCAAGGAAATTATGCTTATCACCACTACATGCAGGATGGATTTAACGATGTTGGTTGGGGTTGTGCGTATAGATCTTTACAAACAATAATCTCCTGGTTCATGTTACAAGGTTACATTGAAATAGATAGAGTTCCAACACACAAGGAAATTCAAGAAGCCTTGGTTGCATGTGGAGATAAAGAGGTCAACTTTATTGGTAAAGAAAAGTGGATTGGATCTCAAGAAGTCTCATACGTATTAAGTCAGCTGTATAACATTTCTTCTAAAATAATGTTTGTCAATTCAGGTCGAGAATTGGGTTCAAAGGGGAGTGAGTTGAAACATCACTTCGAAACTAATGGTACACCTATCATGATTGGTGGTGGAGTTTTGGCTCATACAATTCTTGGTATAGACTTTGATGAGAATTCAGGTCAACTCAACTTTCTAGTGTTAGATCCTCACTACACTGGCCCAGAGGATTTGTCTTCAATCATTAAAAAGGGTTGGTGTAACTGGAAGTCACCTGATTTTTGGGATCCAAGTGCTTTCTATAACCTCTGTATGCCCCAAAAACCTCAAGTTTTTTGATCCATTCGAGCTTATGGTTAAATTTAAATGCTGTTTTAATTATAATTTATTAAACTTTATGGAACAGTTTGTTTTTTTGGTTAAATCCTGGTTAAACTACGCAATAAGTAAACTCGTCAAGCAATAGCTTTTTAAAGTTTGCACAGTGTTAGTAAAATGATGATTCACTGACAGTTCAGGAACAAATCAAGTCACATTTTGTTATTTAATCATCAGTCAACAAGTAACCTTGGAAAATTATATTAAAGACCTGAATTACAAAGAAAAGCCTAATCTTAGGAAAGAAGCACATGAACGCTTAAAACTTGGTTAATGCCCAATGATCATGAGCTTTCAATCTTCTACGGTTTCAACTGCGTGTCTCATCTTCCTTATTTTCTTGAAATGTAAAAGCAAGCATGACTACTAAATGGCTGCCAGATTTAATAGACTTGAGGATGAACAGTTTAAAGTTGGTTGAACAAGAATAAGTTCTTACAGATCTTCCTAGTTAAAGCAATAATGTTGATATCTTGTTTTCCATTTACTGTGAAAAGCTTTAGTTTTTATAAACAGATTAGCAGTAAATAAGCAAGATTAGATGTTGACTGCGAAAGCATAAGTTTACTTCACAAGATCAAAAACCTTCAGCAAACAAAACATTGAACCCAAAAATAGAGAAGTGAACAAATTAAATGCACTTGAAGCATCAAGGAGAAAGTGTACTAAAAAATCACTGAATTCATTCTAATTCACTAAACGATTCTAGATTGATCCATTTAACAAACATTATCTCAGTTAACAAATGAGACGTAAATGAACGTATCTCAATTCCAGGTAATCAAACAGGATAGCATTTTTATCATTGAACAGTCTTGTGATTTATTCCTATTTATAATTTCATTGTTTTCCCTCAATCAGAAAATCCTGTGACAAACACAAACTGAAATCATCCTCAAGTATTGCGTCCATTAATTAATCTACCCAATGAAGAGATTGCGCTTTACAACTGACTAACTCAAGGAACCTGACTCAAGATGTTTCAGACGCCATCTCGTTGGTAAAGTACCAGAATAAATATAGATTATTTGATAAGAGAAAAGAGATTCTAAGGATGTTTTTCTCGTGGAAAGTCTGAGTAAATTCTAGGTAATCTGAACAGATATCGTGAACGAGAAACAATTTAAATGCGAAGTAAGCTGTAAAGATTAACCATATGGGAGACAAATGCTTACCAGAAGACAGCGTTCAAACATACGGAATTAATGAGGAATAGTGAATTGACGAGAATCCAAAAGCTTATTTTCTGGTTTTGGTTAAATTAATTAATGTTTTGAGCAAATGTCAGGTTCGATTGCATTCAAGTCTAATCACGAAAAGCCAATATTAAAAGTCCATCAATCTTGGTTTACCAGCACTAAGGATTCGATTATTGGAAAACTATTATTGATAAATATTCTGTCTAGACAATAATCAATAATTTCTAGAAAATCTTATTCTCTTACTAAATATTTAAAATTATGTCTTTTCGGTTGCTGTGTCCTTCACTCAATAAAGTATCATGAATTTAATTCAGATCATTCGATAATCTTTTGATTTCGTATTCTTTGTTTCATATCTTATTTTCTGAGCATTAATTAGGCCCAATTTCAATATTTTATTGTCTCCATTTTGAGATATTCATCATTCACATTGTCAGTTCCTGGAAACTTGAGCTTTATTTATGACTCTATTTTTTCAATGATAAAGATCTTTAATATTAACTGATCAATTTGGGCCTTTCAATTCAATCTTTATCTGAATTAACGTTTGAAAGTGAGCTATCAACATGTGATTGTACTCAAAACCCTACAAACACAGTCGAATCACAATTGTACCGTGATTCACAATTAGAATTAATTTCTCAGTTCTTTTGCACTAAGCGTTACTTTCTGTCTCTGAATTTATGAGCCTTTCCAACCCGAGGTTGCTAAGAGAAGCAATGATTAAAGATTACTAAATACAGTTTCTTGCATTATGAGAAGAGAAGCAACCATTTCTCATTCCTCTAACAGGTTGCCTTTGTCAAAATCGACTTCTATTTCAGACCCAAGTTGTTTTACTAACAAACTCAACAATTTGAGTATACATCTGATTTCAAGGCTACATCAACTATTATTTGACTCAATATTTTTATCCACTGATACCATTTTAACAGCTGTGCCAATGTTATTTATTATTGAAGACTTGAAAAGAGTCAATTTACTTTGTTTTTCCTTCTTCCAAATGAAATTCTTCTTGTTTGGGACATGGCTACCCAATCAAGGCACACAAGTTGTACCACTATAAACAAGCCATGCACAGTAGATTTTTTTACAGAGTTTGAAAAATAGAAGCAAACAAAGGCTAATGGTTGGTATGAAAAAGCACATGTGGAGCATTTTGCGGATAAAGAGTTGTTCTTTATGTGGCTTATACTACAGCCAGTATGCCAGGCTCATAACAAATTGAATATTATTTAATCTGAATTATTCAAAAATATTCCGCTTCTATTTTCGAGCCCTCGTTAGTCTGCAGTGTGGTGAGTTTCCTGTTTGCCAGAGGTTTCTTTAATCTCTTGTTCGGAGTTAAATGAACCCAAAAATTGTTTTCTCTTTCCACTCTCTTTGGTTCAATTATTCCGAATTTTTTGGTCTTCGAAAAGCTTTTAACTCTTTTTCACTACGATCTGTTTAACATTTTTCATAAACTTTGAGTTCAATTCCATATCTTTGGTCAGAAGATAAAATTTCATTAATTTCTGAATGGAAAGAGTAGGCCTGAGGCAGGATTTCAAGATAGGTATACAACTACTTCTGGATAATACATGATGCAATAAGCGTATAACATTTGCTCAGGTCGATTTCATCATGGATAGAGTTGGTCTTTGGAATAAATTGAATTTAAGATTTCAATTGCCATGTATTTTCAAAGAAATAGTCTTTTTCTTTGTAAATCTCTCCATCATTGAACAATTTCCATTATTTCAATCAATGTTTCCCTTCGCCATGTTTCCACTAGTTACACTTAAATACATTATGAACTATACTTACGTCGAATGTGTTTGAACAAAGACCACACAAAAGTCAAGCCTTTTAATGAAACTGCTAATCACGTATTTAAATGCCCCTTGAAATAAGAATAAAGAAATTAAAATTTATCTAAATTGAGTTTGGTTTTGAATTTAAATCAAGAGACTGGTGTCGACATCTATTGAGCAAATATATAAAATGTGACCTAAAATTTAATTGAATGATGTTTAACTTGAACAGTTTAAGTTATCAGTTTATTGGCCCAAAAAGCAAATATCGATAAAACTGACATAGGCCCTCAACTAGCTATTTCTTATCAGGAAATCGCAAGATGGCTTGAAAACAAAGAAACTGTCACATTGCCTCCTTTATTTGTCCGCCCGGCAGCTATTAAAGATCTCAGCACAATTATTGATCTTTGGAAAAAACAATCAAGTATTATCAATTCATTAAGTAACTCTTTCTTGAAACCATCATACTGATCAATAATTGAATTTCAGTTCATCAATTATCAGTGCTAAGAGCTGACATAACCTACGACAGTTGAATCAATTCGATAGAAATGTCCAAACTCAATTTAGCTGCTTAGCTGAGACTTTGATGAAAAAATTGACATGACGGGTTCTCGTTTACCCTTACCGATACGTTAATCGTTTGGATACAACGAGTTGAACGAATTTGAGGTATTCAATTACAAAAATCAGCTCGAAACTATTATAATACATATATGAAAATAAGAAATGCAATTTTCGCTTGGCAAGTTGTTTAATTTCATTTTTATAAAGCAATATTATGTTACAATTGTGATCATCTTTAGCGAACAAATTTACATGGTAATTTGATTGATTGAAAAAACATCAACATTTAGCAAAATGAGAGCAAAGAAGGAAAAATTTGAAGATAGAACAAGAAAAATAATTGTTCATGAGAAAGATGGTTAAGAAGAAGGGAATAGGAAAAGGAAATAGAAATGTAAAGCAAATTGTGATCATTAGGGAAGTTAAGGTTTTGGTTACAAATAATTTACAATAATTTATGATGAAAAATAGATAAGACCAGTTAACATGCTTTTCTCAATTAATTTACAAGTCTTTCAATTTTCCTTTTTTCCATGAAATCTCCATAGGAGAAAATAAAATCTTTTTTGTTTCAATAGTTGACCTAAAATGACAAGCTCTGGTTCGTGGTTTTATCTCTATTTACAATAGACTTTGATGACGATGATGATGGCTTTTTTCATGATAATGTAACAGATGAAGGTGACAAGGAAGAAGATAAAGATGATGATGATGATGTTAATGACTTTAGAGACGGTGAAGATGAGAATGATGATGAATTATTATACAAAGGTTCGGGTGAAGCAGCATCCATTAAAATGTCTAAATAAGATGTTGATCGTTTATCTCGTTTAATAACATTATTTTTGAGATCAGATAAGTTTTTAACTAAACGCACTGTGACACCTTCAAGAACCAAACTATAGCCAAAACTAAGAGGTTCACTTGAAGGATTAAGAGCCATGGTTAATCGTCCAAAGGCATCGTATTGATAAAAAATGGAGTTTGCACCGACAACCGGATCAAGGCGAGACTTGAGTAAACCTGATGAGCCAACATATTCAAAGCTGTATGTAAATCCATCAGATGATTCAATTGAGGACAACATTTTCATTCGAGACATTGTCAGTGAACATTTTCCTCCCTTCGAGTTTTCAATTGATTTAACTTGATTGGCATAATCACGGAAAAGGTGAATCTTGTTGCCAGAGGAATCAGTGATTGAAGATAGTTTACCAAATGAAGTGTTTACATTGTAACTAAAGGTATAAATTGTCTTTTTATTTGAACCTGAAGATAAACTTCGAGTGGTTAAATGTTGCCCATAACGATTAAATATGTAAACCTCTAGAGATTCAGAGGAAGTTATTGAATATTCATGGTTTTCATCCAGTGCGGGAAGTGAAGTGTGAACTGATCTTATTCGCAGGTTTCCTTGATCACAGATATGAAGGCTTCCATCGGGTGTTACGGTAATTGAAGGAATGGCAGACATTTTAGAGGTTAAAGCAGTATTTACATCAACATTGAAACATTCACAGTTATTTTCCATGCATGAACAATCTAAATCCATTCCTGCATACTTGACGATTCTTCCATCGCCAGTTACAAGGCGAACTCGGTTAATCATTTGAGAATCACTTTCAGCTATAAAGAGATCACCATTTGTCGAGAAAGCAATTGATTGAGGAGTTTCCAGGAAAACTTGAGTTCCAAGTAAATTTTCAGCTTCCTTCTTGGACTCTGGATCTTCTTGGGCTGTAATTACGGATGAACAGTGAGTTGGTCGACCAGCAACCACTCTGATGCGTCGATCAGGTGTCAACTTGAGAACCATGTGATCATCAAGAATATGAAGTGAATTGTCAAGAGGATTGATTGCCAGTTCTGTGGGCCAACGAAGGTTAACCTTTTGAACAGGAATGGTTCCAGTACAGGGAAAGGGTTTCCAGTGCAGCTTGTGATAATGGTCACCAATAAGAGTGTGAATGTTTCCGTTTACATCAACATATCTAATGTTGGTTCCATCAGCAATAAACAGTTCACCAGTCAATGAAATGGCGATTCCTTTAGGATAAGCAAGACGAGCAGTTCGAGCTGGACGATCATCACCACAAAGCAACTTGTCTCCGGGTAAACACTTTACTCCAGAGCCGACAACAACCTCCAAATTGGATCTGGGATCGGGTGGATTGGAGCTGTTGATTGTTCGTAAAATTTGATGCTTTTCAGGATCGGAAATGTAAAGTTTACCATCAACTGGACCCATGACTAAATGATACCGATAAGCAACCTGAGAAGCTGAAAGTTCAACAATGGTGGTAACCTGTCCATCAGGGGTTATACGACGGATAAGGTTAAAGTCACCCACATAGATGGACCCATCAGGACCTGAAGTTAGAGCTACTGGAGCCAATAGACGTTGTTCACCAGCCTGTCCATTACAATAGGCACAATGAAGTGGCCTTTGTTGTCCATCGCCCATCAAGGTGGTCATAATGGAAGGCAACTTTTTCAAGTAAAGTGTTGATCCGTCGCCCTTTTGCAAGATTCCTTCATGGAAATTGTATCGATGGTGAACATCCAGATTCCAACCTCCAATCTCCGAAATGGACATGTCATGACCAGCAACTTCCACCGTTTGAACTTCCCAAATGATTTGTGGACAATTGAGGTATTCGTATCCAACCGAGACGGTAGCTGTTGCAACTCCGTAAACCTTTTGTCGGTAAACGTTTCGACGATTCCATGAGTAAGTGTATGAAATGTGAGGAACAGCTTCAAAGATTTGCTCGAAAAGGTTTCCTTCTAATGATATCTTGAGATGGACTAGACGAAGGGACGATGGAATGCGATCATTGGTCAATGTTAAATCAATTGTTGAAAGATAACCAGATCCTCGGTTTGAATGGTAAATTAGGTTAACCTCAGTTCCTGGAATTGCGATGCTTTCTTGGACAATTTTACCCTCTTCAAGAATCATCTTGTTGCTCTTGCTGGACAATGAAGAGACACCATTGAAACCCGATTTCCATGTTCCTCGGATAGATGGTCTCATTGACTCGTAATCGTGTTCAACACAAATGGATGATCGATGGTCAGCCAGTTTAACTTCATCCGAGTTCATTTTAACCTCACCAATGACGACAATTTGATTCCAAGGAACAAAAACTGTTCTCTGAGTTGGTTTAAAAGGTTCACGTCTAAAGTCAAGGGTAACTGCTGATCCACCGTTAACCATGATATCAAACCAACCAGCTTCTCGAGAAACAACAATACCAAGATAATGATCATTAACAACACCAACTCGAACTCCCATCAGACCATAGCCCGAAGGTGAAACAACTTGACCTCGAATAACTGAAGCTTGGCTAAATAAGACGGAGAGAAAAAAAAGAACAAAAATAATCAATAAAAATATGAATAAAATGGACATGAAAATGTACAAAGAAAGATGTTCAAAGGATGGCAAAATGTTAAGACGAGAGTTGTTTTGATTTGAAAAGCTTTCTTTTGTGAAAACACAATATATTAATATATAATAAATCAAAATTTGCTGACAATTGAAACTCATGAAAGGCCAAAATAATGAGACCTTTTGTCAAAAAAATATTTCCTAGACTTTAACCTTTCCTGAAGCCGAGTTCAATTGAGAAAAGGAATGAAGAAAAGGGCAAATTTTGAATTTATTATCAAACAAAAAAAGGGTTTTCAAGTTGAAGGAAATCAGTTGAAATGAAGGACCAGAAAATTTGACAAAATTAACATTGAAAACAATTAAATGAATCCTAGAGAGTCGAGTATTGAACTAATATGGGAAAATGAAAAGATGAAGATGATGGTTAAGATGACAGAACAGTTAACATTGTCAAGATGAGATATTATTTCAAAATGCTTATAAACGGTTGAGAAGAAGGAAGAAGATGGAAGAGCAAAAATGTCTAATATTTTCTTTTCTTCCTTCACCGTGTTTCTCTATCATCAAGCTTTCCTCTTTTTTCATTCAAGAACTGAATTCATCTTGCCTTTCCCGGTTAACAGGGGAGAATGGTGAAGACGAAGAGAATAAGAATAAGAAGAGAAAAGCAGAACATGTATACATCTTGATATGTCTCCCTTGGCTGCCAGAAATAATGAGAAACTCATAAAGATGATGAGGATAATGTTGGAGAAAGAGATTGGTTCGATGAAGATCATGATGATAATGATGATGGAAATGAACAAAGATATGATAAAGTTTTTACAGGAAAAGGCAGAGAAATATATTTATATATAAAAACAATCAGAGATGAAGAAAAGTGAAGGTAAAAGGTTCAGTTAAAACTATCATTATCATTATCCAGGTTCATTCCCATGATGATAGAAACGATGATAGTAACAATATCATGAAGAGAAGAAGCAAAAAAGAGTAAAAAAAGGGAAAAAGAAAATGGAAAAGAACAGAATTGGGGAAAATCGAAACGGAAAAGGAAAAACTAGAAAAGACTCGAGAAAATAATTCATAAAAGCTGAGTTCTAAAGTCAACTTATTCATGAAAAGAGTAAAACTAGAAAAATGAATAATCTGAAAAAGATTTATGCTGAAATGGTTGAAAAGTGATGAAAACCTTGAAAGGTCAGAGAAGGCAAAAAACGCAAAACAATAAACAGTTGAAATGATGATACAAAATTGAATTTTTTGTTTGCAAAAAGAAACAAAATTGTGGAATGAATTGTTAACCTTTTTTTATAAACAATAAAAGTTGAACATTTCCAAATGAATATCATGATAATGATGGTGATGGAAGAGTGAAAATGTTGAATAAGTAAAGAGAAACATTGCAAGTTGAACCTGCAAATGATATGTATATCAAGAAGCTCAGGCAATGTTAAGATTGAGTTTCAAGAGTTTTTACACTTTTTGTTTTCTCCATTTGGATAAATGGAAACAGCATGAGGAATGATGAGGGGAAACGAGGAGTCAGAATTTAATGATGACTTCTACATTTTCCTTTTCCTCACTCCTTCCTTTTCTTACCAACATTGACTGGGAGTTAACCAATCATGGTAATCAAGAAAATTATCATGTAAACGAAAAATTGGCGAGAGCAAAAACTTTCCTCTCTTCAATTTTACAATAAATTCATAAGCAATGAAATCAAAAGTGTATCAAGATATCAACATTTCTCATGATAAACGGTTAAATCAAAAGATGGTAAATGCTTGAAAAATGTGATTCATTGAAAACAATATTGAAAGTTTTGAAACAGATGAAAGCCTGAAGGAGTTTCAAGTCGCCGAGTAAAAATGCAATTTTCATTTTTCTCTTTTTAATAAGATATTTCAAGTTTCCCTGAATAAAAGGGAAAACTTGAAGAAGAAGAAATAATGAGAAAAGGCAAAATTGTTCAGTAAATAACATTACAAAATACGATTGGAGAAAAAAAGAATAAAAAGAAAAGAGAAAAAAACTTGGAATAATTGATTTGCATTTTGAGAAATGAAATAACATGAAATAACAGGATAATCAATATGATTTGGTTAAAGTGAATATAAAAAGTTCTGATAATCTTTTCTGGTAATAATATAAACCAACACAGAGTGAGATATAGATGAATAAAATGCAATAAAAATATCTCTTTTACCTAAAAGTTTTACTTTTCTCTGAGAATGCTAAGAGAAGCTCAGAATTTTTAAACTTCTGAAGGAAAAAGATTAAACCAAGCAAAGTGAAATCAAGTGATATAACAATCGGATATGGACTGGAAATAATATCATTTCCTTATTGCCATCAAGTGTAATCAAATTTTTTGCCCAACTTATTTTATGTCTTTCATGATATTACATGGGACACAATTTTGAGCTTAAAAATGGTGAAAATGAAATTCCGAGTTTCTTTCAATTTAATTTCCAATGGAATTTTAAAGTGCCTCAAGGTAACTCATTTTTGCCTTCTTTTACCTTTCGCTTTTAGTTCAATCTTTCAAATGTTATTACCTTATTGCATGATGTTGAGTTAACATTGAAATTGAAACAAGGAATATGAATAATCAGTGGAATGGCAAATTGAATGACAATTGTCAACATGATGAACCTGAACTGAATAAATGGATAACTTGACAAACAAAATGAATGGCTTAGAATAAATTCTTTGACATGATATTGTTTCATCTTTTTTCTTCTACTTTCCAGAATTTCTTTCCAATCTTTCAGTTTGGTGTCAATAAAGAAGGTTAAAATGTAATAACGCACTTTTCACAGGGAAAATGCATTCAGAGAATGAAACTTGAATTTGGTGAAATCTCTTTGAAAGTGAAACAAAAAAGTTTGTCAACATTTTCTTTTCCATCCTTTTTCCTTATTCTTTATCCGATTTTCACCGAGTCTCACCTTCATCAGGGAATTGTGATGATGAAGGTAAGAGTTGATTCATTTTTACTTTTATCTTCTTTTTTTTTGTTTCTAAAATTCTTTGGCTTTGCCAGCATTTTTGCTGAGGAAATTCATTGAGAAACAAAATCTTAACCAGGAGAGAAATGAAATGTCTTTTAAGGTAACAATTTCTTTTCTTCTTCTGTCACCATCTCAGAGTAAAGTACAAATGTCAACATTCCTAGGAATGAAACTCAAATTCTTTGGCAAGTTACCCTGAACAAGATCAGGGTGAAGATGAAGATAAGAATGAAAAAAGAAGGCAGAAAAAAGAAGAAAATGAAACTAGAAAAAGATTTACAAATGGACCAAAATGTGAATTCGAGCCTTTTTCGTTTCCAGGGAAAGAAACGAAAAAAAATTAGAAATTTGAAACATTTTTTTCTTCTCTGAACATTTTCAAAAGGTGAATCTTTTTTTCATCAAAACCAGAATCTAAATCTGGTCAACAATGAGTTCAAATTGTCATTCGATGAACTCTTGAAATTTTTAGTTTATTTTCCTCTTTTTTTCATTCATTATTTTTCTGCTTCTTGTCACTGATTTCAATGAAAGTGAAATGAAATTGACAAATGAATTTTTGAATAAAAGATGGAAAATGTTTAAATTAAAGTCGCTTTGTTTCACTTCAAGTTGATTGTTTTTAAACAGTAAAGCAATATTAACTTTGTAAAGATAGCAATTTTGATTTTTCATTGTATAATGTAATGAGATTGTAACACTAGAAGAGGAAGAAATGTGCAAGTTAAACAAAAAACTGGAAAGGGTCAAAAGAATTGAGTAAACATGAAAAAGAGATAAATCAATGAACAAAAGTTGAAACCGTTTGACAGAAGCAATTGTAATGAAAATATAAAATGCATTCAAGCTTCAACTTTTACTATTAGTTAATTTAGCTAATTTTGCTATTTAAATGCAAAGCTTTTGCGTTTCTTTCCTCTTCTTTTCCCTTCTTTTTCCCTTAACGATTTTACGCTGAATCCAGTAAACTATAATTAAGTTAACTATTCACATAGTTGGTAGTTATACAGAAGTCACCTTTGCTTCTTCATCAATCTCATCATGATGCCATTTAAGAATAACAAGAAACACAGAAGAAAGTGCAATACTGAAGAAAAATCAGAAGAGACGAAAAAAAAGGTTGTTCAAGTTTCAAGTGATGGTTATTCATTGAATATCATGCCATTGATCATTTCAGTTTGTTCATCTTTTCGCTTCTTGTGAGATGAACAAACATGGCACAGTCCAAGATAATGGATTGTTCAAGATAACGTTGGAAATGGCTATCATGATGACCTTCTTTGGATAAAAACTGTCCACCTTATTCAAGACAAGAACCAGTGAAGGAGGCAAGATGAAGTAAAAAGATGATGAGGATGTCAACCATAACTTTCAACACCTCAACTCTTAACTGATTGTTGATGGAAAACATTGATTCTTTGATTTCTTCATTTTTCTTCTTTTCATCATTCCATTTTTACTCATCCCTTTACCCTAATCATCTTCATTCCTTTCCTTTTGCCTTTTAATTTTCCAACACATTGAGTTCAGGAAATGGTTAAAGCTTGCTGTCCAGTTAAATGTCCACTGAAAGTAAATAATTTTACTTTTTGCTGTTCATTTTTTTTCTCCTTCTTCTTGTTTTTCTGTCTTTTTCATGATTTTTTTCTTCACTCTTTTTCTTCTTGCCTTGCCTTCAACTGCAGAGTCACACTTGCAAGTTTGCAACAGAATTGAAATAATCAACCAACAGGAAAATTGATTGGTGAAAACTAATCAACCAGTGATTCAAGTGATTATTCAGAGATGACATTTACAATCAAAATGCAACTAGAGAGGAAAAAAACTTAACTAGACTATTGAGAGAGAAAAAGGTTTATCATGAAGAGAAGAAGAAAAAAAACGAAAGAAGAAAAAAATCTAATCAGAATGAATCAGCATGAATGATTCTCAATGTATAATGCAAGACTGACAAATCAGGGTGTAAAGAATTAAATTGCAAATTAAATTGTAATTCAATTTTTCAATCACTCAAGTGGTTTAAAGGTTTTCAAATGAGAAAAGCAAAAGATGTCAAAAAACATTGAAGTTGGAAAAGAGGAAGAGACACAAACAATACTAATATGGTACAAGGAGTGGAATGGTGTTTCACTCATTAAATGCTAAAAATTGATGATAAATTGGTGTTGGTGTTGATGAAGGAACATGAGAGTGATAACAATGATTGTTGTAACCAACCTTGCATTAAATCGGGTCCAAAAGAGACTTTATTGGTTAAGCAAATAAGAGAAGAGAGAAAGTAAAGTTAGTTTGAGTGGGAGTCAAAGTGGGGTTCAGTTAGACTTTGCAGGTAGAAATTAAATTAACAGAAAACAGTTGGTTCAAGATTCGATTGAAAAAGATTCGATAGGAAGTGCAAGGTTTGGGAAAAGGGTCAGTAAGGAAATGGAAAAGAATTGCAAGTTTTCTCTTTTTATGTCTATTCGAAATGAAGATGAAAACGAAAAGAAAAAAAAGTGAAATGAAGAAAAAAAATTTTGATACAAATTGAAGCTTCAGGGTTGGTAAGAGTAATGAACATAATAATGAGTAAAAGTAGAAAAATATATAAAAATAAAAAGAAACTGAATTGACCTTAATTGGCCTGGAGGGATTAAAAGTTGAAATGAATTTGAAATGAAATAATGAAAAGAAGATGGAAAAATTATGGTGAAATCATCATGAAGGTGGATAATGAGGAGAATGAGTAAATCAAGTAAAAAAAAGGTAAGAGATTAATGTAAAGGTTGGGAAAAACGAAAAAAAAGGTTTTCCAAAAGTAATGAAAGTTGGTTGAAAGTTGGGTCAATGTTTAAATGTTTACCTGTCATTGAAGGCTTTCCTGTGAGCATAGCTCTGAACTGAATCATCTTCAATCAGAAACTGCATTCGTTGGAAGAAGGAAGCTGTTGGCGATAAAGGTTGCTTTCGAAGTAAAATGTCCACTGGATCGGCTGATTTAAGACACAACGGATTGTTCTGGCAATCTTTTGATGAACAACATTCACTATCGGCACAGTCGATTAAACCATCTGATTTATCCATTTTTCGTTGATGATTCCATGATGGCATTTAATCAGCATTGGATGAATATCAGTTGACAAATATGATGAAAGAAAGAAGAAGAAACAAGAATTTAGATTTGCAATTGTGAATAGAACTGTAATGGAATGGTAAATGAACAAGAAAAATAATCAAGGTAAAGAAGATTTTCTTCTGTTCATTTATCTCTGAATCAGTCAGTTTAACAGTGAAAGATTGAAAAAGTAAATCAATTGGATTACACTGAGAAAATCTTTTCGCCTCTTGATCATCATTAATCTTACTGGACAATCAACATATTACTAGACATTGAAACTGGTTTACTTTATCGTAAACAATTTAAGGTTAAAAAAAGAGCAACTTTTAGAAAAGTTTCAAATGATGAATCAATTGAAGGATGAAATGAAAAATGTCGACTTTTAATCATCATTGAGGTGAAACAGAGATACTGAATAATCTTGAAATGGTCAGAAGAGAAAAGTCCAGTTTTTACACTTTGCCTCTTCTGACCTTCTGAATATTAAGAGACAGAAAAATGGTTAAAGTAACAGTTTAGTCTGATATTGATTTGCTCATGAATCGACGATTCCATTCAGACTTGATTCACTATTCCTATGATCATTTTGATAATCTTTTTACTTACTCATGATATTCAACAACGAATCAAGTGGAATGAAAAAGTGATAAAGTTCGCATTCTTTTTATCATGAATCGTTGGAAGGGAATGGATGTAAACGGAAAACTGTTTTTACTATTTAAATATTTTCACCTTCAATTGTTTCAAAAGAAATTTAGAAATTTGGAAATTTGTAATTTCCATTAAACTTACCGTTATCATTGTCTTTTTTATCGCCACATTCCTTTTCCAATGGAATGCTACAATCATTTCCATGCCAATCAGAGTTGCATGAACAGAACCATCGTCCATCGCGTTCAACACAAACTCCACGATTATTACAATTCTTAGGGCAACCCTCTGAATAAGAACAGAAAAAGAAGATTAATATTGAGCAAAGAATAATTTGCAATAAAAAGACACAATTGATTCCATTTGATGGCAAGTGCATCCAAAGCATATTCACCGAGACCAACACTTTTCCACCTTTTTTCACCTCAATAAAAATTACCATTTAACCCTGAAGATACGAGTGAATCAAGGAAAACAATGAAATGCTGTTCAAGAGGAAAGACATTAGCAGATGTGCGATTTTATGGTGCAAATAAGAGAATAATCATTATCGTAATAAATGGAAAAAAATTGCGCCCAAACTGAAAGATGGAATAAAGATGAAGGCGAACAAGAAAAATTTGGATAATATTTACATTGAGTTTTCTTCTGGTTTCTTCTCTTTTGCTCTTTAGTTCTTTACCATCTCATGATAACTTTTTACATTCTAGTATGATAATTTATTTACTTTGTCAGATTATTCTGGATTCTGGTGAACAGCAACTCGGAAAGGAAAAGGCAAAAGCAAGAGAAAAGGTAAGCAAAGCAAAAAGATGTAAGAGCAAGATCAAGTAATAGAGTGAAGTTTATTGCTAAAGACGATATCAATGTGCATAACAGAGATTACTGTTCATGATGGAACCAGCAAATAACCAGGGAAAGAAAGAGAAATAACTAAGTAGATATGTGTTAAGGATTAAACGGAGAACCAAGAAGAAGAAGAAGAAGAAGAAAAGGGAAGAAAAAGCAAGGATAAAAGTAATACAGAAAGTCTAAATTACTACAGAAAACTATGGTCATCGTGAGCAATTACAGTATCCCAGGAGATTGAATGAGACAGGGAAGAATGAGAAATGGAATACCTTATGGAAAGTGTGTAATGAAGAAAGAATGGCAGAAAAGAATCAATATCAGAATAATCTGGTCGAAAGTGAGAAGAAGTCGACTGATAATGAGAAGTGATAATTTAGTATGAAAAATCATAATTATGACAGGGAGTGAATAAGAAAAGATTGAAATGGTGAAATGATGCCATTTAATGTATCAACATTGGTCATGGGATGCAGTTTATTAGATGAAATTAATTAGGATCTTTTATGTTCTTAATCAACTCTCTAAGGAATTTTGTTTGCTTTTTTGCTTTTCTCTTTTCCTTTTTTTTACCTCTTCGATTCTGAATGTGTAAAAGTTTTATGAGAAACGAAAGGGAAACGAGTTGCATAAACGGATCAAAGTTGATGATGATTGTTGTGATGAGGAGGAGGAAGTAAAGTGAAGGGCTAAACAAGGTAATGGAGAAATGAAATTTAGCTTTTGGTGCAAAGTAAACCCTGAAACCTGGTAAGGATGAATAAATAAACGAAACTTGGCTTTTAAATGAAGAGTAAAAACAGAAGGAAAGCCTTACATTGCTTGAGTTCCAAGTTTAATGAATCGTCTCAAATGGAAATCGATTTTTTCATGGTTTTATAAAAAAGTATACTTTCAGTTGCAACAGAATAAGAATTAAGAATAAAGTAAAGAGAAAATGAATTACCACAGAGAAGAAAAGAAAAGTTTAATTCTCTCTCTCTTCTGAATTCCTTTCATTTCCAACCATCTTCATCATCTCGAGACATTGTGACATTAATAGAAGTCGTAATTGAAACTAGCCTTTCACTGAATAAAAACTTTAACCAATTGTCAGCATTTCTAGTGTTTCTTGAGTGTTCAACAGTTCAATGTCAGTGTTAATATGTTTTGGCCGTTTCAATGTTGAATAGAAAATGCTTAATGAATGATTCAATTTTTAATAACAATTAAGTGTTGGTCTGTGTTTAACTTTTGTAGCTTCAGTTTAGTCTGAAAATTGAATAAGCAAAAACTGTGCAAAAACTGTCAAGTCTTTTTGTTTAACGTTTGGTAAACTGCCAACAATGTTTTGTCAGATAAAATGTTTAACTATTTAGTATCAAGTGTACGAGTGTTTTACAGCTTATTAGGGAAACGTGTAGAATGATGATCAAAACTAGGATCATCATTATGATGAAGTTGCTAATGGATGGAGAAGAAGGAGGAAAAGTGAGAAAAAGTGATGAGAATGATGATATGATGATATGATGGATACAAGAGGTAAACTGTTTCTACTTAAGTCAAACAACTGACTTTTGTTTAACAAGAAAATGAAAAAATGTTCAAACTAAGTTTATGATGGATCAAGAAATGGCGGATCCAAAAAATTGATTGGGTGGTTCGACCTCAAACGGCTTTAGTTTTGTCAATTTTGTGTCGATGTCTTCTGATCTATAAGTCTGATCAAAATATTGCAACTATCATTATGCGAAGTTTCATGCAAGTGAAGGCAAATCTCTGTAGAATCCGATTCACTAACAAGGAACAAAAAGTTGTAATGATACTGATGATGATAAATAGTGAAAAATGTACACATTTCAGTTGGAAGATTCAGAGAAATTTCAACTTCTAACTTGATGTAATGATGAAGAGGAAAAGTGTTACAAATTGTCTCAATTCCATGTCAAAAGGGAAAAATAATGAAAAATAATGTTGAGAAAAAGGAAAAAGAAAAAGTATTGAGAATGAACAAGTATGATTGAGATGATAAGTGAATGAAAGATCAATGAATGATCGAAAAAGACGAGATTCCATGTACTTGAAGCAGGGTATCAAGAAAAGGTTTGAATTTGGAGAAAAGTAAAGTTGAGGGGAAATTGCCATTTTCATAATGAAACGTTACTCGAAGCTGCTCAACGGACAAAAAGGTTATCAAGAAAAGTTTGAAATTGGATCGAAGATTATACATTTTATTGCAGATTATTTGGAAGATTGATCTGAATTAAGCAGCAAACATACACAACTGATTAGAACAGTGATTGATTAGGTTGAGTCGTGAAATGAAAAGAAAATGAATGGAGAAAACAAAAAGAAGCGAAAAAATGGAAAGAAAAGGTTAGAATACAAGTTTATCTGAGCTTCTATTCAGGGTTACATTAAACTGAAACATGGGATAAAATTGATGGCCTTTTTTACTCCCAGTCAAGTCCGTAAATATCAACCAATCGATTTGCCATTGAATGTTAAACTTGTCATACACTTGACCATTTATAAGGAAAACAACAAAGAGTAACTCATAACACAGAGAAAGAGAGAGCAAAGGAAGAAAAGAAATAGACAGAATTTTACTTGCCTCATGAAACTAGCTAAAGAAATTGGAGAGAGAGGAAAAAAAAGAGAAAAGAAAAATTGGTTTCACGATATCATGAAGACCCATTTGAAAAGAAGTGAAACACAAAATAAACCAGAATGGATTTCAATCAATGATCAAGATCGATTCTTATAGTTCAACTTTTTCATCATTACTATTGTCTATTAAACATTCAATGGAAAAATATTTTGTTACATTGAGTCCAGTGATAAATGACCATTTTAAACGTCATCAAAGTAATGTTACAATGAAATAAACTCTGGTCATTAAAGAAACTCGAGTCAGAACATTTTTTTCCTCTCAATCAATTTACCAGTAAAAACGCAAAACTATCCAGTCATTAGTCCAGACTCTTAGACTTGAAGTCGACCGAGCACAAGTAGACCTTCAAGTTGCAAGTTTACAACTTGCCTGCGTCTATGGAAGCTTCAAACCTTTAGTCAATTCGTTAAAACTTGAACTTCTCGTTCAAACCTAAAAGCTCAATCGCTTATCGAAAAGTGTTTTATCTTGTGTATCTGCGATTGTTTGGATCGGCTGAAGATTTAAAATTAACCAATGATTAGTCCAGACCCTTAGACTTGAAGGCAACCGAGGACAAGTTGAGCTTCAAGTTTGATTAAGTTGGAGATGCAGCACTCGGCTTATCGATCGAATGATTAATTTTCAAGTGAAAACAATTTTCAATTTCACTGGTTGAATGATATCCTCAAATATTGGTATTTGATTGGAATACAAAAATGGCTGATTAACAATCAAACAGCATCTTCTAGTTAGCCAATTGAATTTACCCTCCTCATCGTTTCCTCTTTTTGTTCATTATCATCAATGTAATCATCATTTTGTTCAATACATTTCTTTAAAAGTGTTTCAAGTTCAATGAAAGTGAATCAATAGAAAAATTTTGGCCTCTCTCTTTTCACCATTAAATAACAAAAAAAAGGAACCCATTATATTGAATGTTTGGATCAACAATGATCAAGATTAAAGTTGATCAGAGAGGGAAGAAAAAGAAGTGATAATAAATTTCATTCTCTAGTTAAGACGATAATAATGATGAAGGTAATAACTATCAATTCAATTTGGTGTTTTAGTTTCACTTTTATCAACTAATAACTAATAACAAAAAAAAAGTCATTCCAATCACTAGGTAAGAGTAGAAAAGTTGATTCAAGTTGAAATAATTTCACAAGAATTTTGTGTTTCGACGAAACTTTTCATTTGAAATGTGTATCGATTGAATGAGAAGACTATTGTAACAATTTTATTAGATTTTTTGGGTTATTACTTTTTTTCATCTCTCATGGTTGACTTGATATTTCATCTGTGAATCATGAAAAGTCAACCTGAAAATGCTGCATGAATACAAAGTCAGATTATGCATAAGAATTTAGTTTGATAAATATGACCATGAGGAGCTGGAAAAGAGCAAAGAAGAAGAAGAAGTAGAGGAAAAAAAGAGAAACGATTTTCTTCTTCTCTGGTAAACATGATAAACTCAATTTAGCCATTGCTATGAATAAAAATCAACTCGATACTGTTTAGGGTTAAACACCAAATGTCTCATAATGGTGATGATGAAAAAGATTCAGTGAAACGCAATTTTATTTGGAAACATGAAAAAACTGGAAAAGTAAACAATGTTAAAATGTTATTTTCACTTCAATTAAGGTTAATATGGTTCATTAGGTATTTTCAATGTTTCATTACCAAGTAATAAAAATCAATCATTCCCATTAAAGTCAACATTCATGTAAAGCAAAAATTAACTCACATAATTATTAACCAATTAAAAGTAAAGAGTTTAATTTTCAATTAAACATTTATGTTAATGTGAAACAAAATCATTCAATTATCTCGCCTTCATCAGGTAAATATACTTTGAGTAGACTAGAGTTGAAATTATGAATAGCAATTGGAAGAGCAATTGATATTGAGATTGAGAAAATTGGAAATGTCAATTTTTTCGTGCAAAAAGTGAAATCAGTTTTAATGTTTAATGTTTTATTGAAAGCATTTAAGAAATGAATTAGAAACTCAAATGGCTGCGATAATCTCAATGTGCAAGTTGGAAAATCATGAGAAATTCAAAGTGAATAAGATTAAGGAAACAAGTGTAATCAATAAATGGTCAACAATGTTCGTGCAAAAACTGTGGACAGTAAACTTAGGCTTGAAGGTAAATGGTAAACTTGAAAATAATCTTATTTGATTCAATTTTAATTTTGTAATTCTGTTGCTGTTCAATAATGAGAAGAATTTCAGATTATTTTGTAACAATTAAACAATTTGAAAGTTTGATGAAAAGTCACTTGCAAGCTTTCAAGCTACCAAGTTTAAAAGATTCAAAAGACTCAATAAGATTTCAAGTTTATCTGGTTAACTAAAAGTAACTGATTATCACGTTATTTTCATTATGATTGAGACAACAAAATGATGAAATTTGAAGAAAATGCGTTTTTCTGATGAATAATGAAGTTATAGTTTAAATTACGTTTCACTTTACAAAGTTGGCTGAAGATAAAATGATATGAGAAAAGCGACGTTTTGGGATTTCTTGTCGTTTTCAGGTCAAGTAGAGAATGGAAAAAACCAAATAATTTATTCTTCAATATCTATGGAAATATTGGTTTTAGTCATTTCTGGTCAAACTTGCACTTCATTTTTATCTTTGTCAATAACTAGATAACTTTTCAACATTAATTCAGTTAAACTTTTCCAATGTGTAACAAGCAAGTCATAACCTTTAAACGAAGTGGTCATTTTCATGGTGAAAACAGGATTGATTGTTGATGAAGCAGGTTGGTGACAATTTTTCAGGTTGACTCTTATAATGCAATTGGATGACTTGAACCAACAACAGAATCGTCAAGTTGGTTAATTCAATTGAGCCAATCATGATTGGGTTAACAATTTATTCATCACTGTACTCACCTAATGTACATAATTTTCCATTCCATCCTTGATTACAGAAACATGTACCATTGTTGCATCGTCCATGCTCCAAGCATCTTGGATCACAAAGACGTTGTTCACAATTTGGTCCAGTCCATCCTTTATTGCAAACACAACCTCCACTTTGACACTGACCATTAGGACCACAATCGAGATCACATTTTTCTGTAAAAATGAGAGAAGAAACAAAATTAGATTAACTCGAAAGACAGAAAAAGGTCGAAGAAAAGGAGAAGGAGAAAAAAATGAAAATTTAATCAATAATATTGAAGCAAAGAGTAAAGGCAATAGTTTCATAATGAAACTTTTCAAGTAATTATCGTTTACATCATCAACAGCATCATCATTAAGAGTATCTTTATGTAATATTGAGCATCATTATATAATAAAAGATGGGTTGAAACGATTGACCAAGCGATAATTTTACAAGGCTGATAGAAGTTCAACATTAACGAGATGATTAAAGATGACAATGGATGCTAACTGATGAACAAATGAACCAACAAATTGAGTTGTTATCATCTTTTAACCACATTTTCACTTATAGTCCAAGACTATCAACATAATGAAAAGTAATTTTCTTAACCATTCAAGTAAATCTTTGAAAAATGGAGTAAAGTCTGATAGAGATACAGTTTTTTTTCATTTTACCAAAATTGTTATTTAATAAAATTATGATCAATTGAAAAGCAAAAAATGTTATTGATTATGATAATGAAACTATCATTGGATGAATTTATCAAGTTAGAGGAGTTATGAAGTGATGTTTAAATAATTGAATGTACAATGTTTTTCATGGATTTCATGAGCAAATCATTTGGGCAGAAGATGGCAAGTTGATAATGAAGATAAAGGAAATTGAAAGGAAAGTAAAAAAAGATGAGTTTACTGTCATCAGTGATCACTTGTGCTGCACCAAAATTGAGGCTTCATCTTTCATCACAATCATCATTTTGGTGCAACCACCAGCAGCCATCATCCATTTGTTTAATGAAAATACTTTACTCATTTTTTCTCTCTTCTTGCTATTTTTTTGCTCTTCTTTCTCTTGTTTACTGACCATCAGCAAGTGTAGTTAATCACTCGTATAAAAACAACTAACGGTTCGATGGATAAATAAGGGAGTCGAAATTTCTTTTCAAATGATGATGCTGGATGAGAAGAGATGAAAAGGAAAGAAACTAGACAATAATAAAAAAGAGCAAGAAATGACGATAATGACAAGAGAAGCAAAAAATGAAACAATCATATTAACAGCAATGTCAATGCAAGCCTGTCCAATGTTGACCAGAAAAGAAAAAAGTTGCTAAATTAATCTGAAAGAAATGATAATTCTGAAAAAAGGCAATTGTTCCTTTTCATTCTGTCTTTTTTTTCATCATTTTTTGTTTTCTCCTTCAACATCTCTATTTGATTTACAAATAACAGTTTCATATTAAATGGCATTAATAGCAACAATACAAGTAATCGTAAGCAAAATGCTAAGACACAAGCATTAAGATAACAATAAAAAAGATATTAATAAAAGGCAATAATAATAGGTAATGTTAGTTGTTAAAACATATAATAGAGCTCAGACAACAGAAGCAAAAGAAGTGAACAGAGTTACTAAAGGGGAAAAGATGCTGTTATGAACTTATCTAATTGACATGGAAAACTGAAAAGAAGAATGTCATGAAAATGAATAACAAAAATTAGTCGATTGATAGACAATTGCGGATGGATTGAGACTAATATCAAAAGGAAGTGTTTAGATTACATGCAATTCTGTGGGTATTCCAGTTGTTCATTTTCATGAATTGGATGCTTAATAGCGAATGACTTTTGTATTTGGAATCATTTTTTTGTCAAAAAGCTGAGAATTTCGATTTTTGATTTTTCTTTTTTTCTACGATTTTTATTTGTATTTCGCCCACATTTTGTGTTCCTTTTATCTCAATATTGTTGAGAAGATAAAGATTTTACTGTTTATGTTTTCTTCAACATTTTCTTAGTAAACTCAAGATTCTGTATTGATGTTAATCATGTTGATGACTGTCGAGTGTTCTTACTTTAATTGAGAAATAATTGAAACATTTTTCAAGAAAAAATATCAATGGTCATTTGATATGTTCATAAGTGGGTTAAAAAAGCTTGAAAAGATTTGAGCAAAGTTGATAATCTTGTTGATCAATTGCAGAGAAAAACTTGAATTGCAGATCTTTGCATTCACATTTTACTCTGTCAGTGGTTAGGCCGTTAGTGTCTCAAGAGAAGTCAGATAAATCAGGATAAGAAGAAAAAAAAGTAAACCTTGTAGGTTGATGTATGAGTTTTTTTGCCACATTTTGAAACTTTACTCTTCTCTCTTCATCATCTTGAGATGAGAGCAAGCAAAAGATAAAGCGAAGCAATATTGATGAAGAAAGTAGAAGTAAAAAAAGCTTTTCAAGTGATGATAAACGGAAATAAGTGGTTATCCAAAAGTAATACATATATCTGAAAAGCATGTACAGCATGGGACAAGAAAATAATAAAACTTAGCAGCTATTAGAAATTTTACCTCCAAAGATAAACATTACTGAATCGAAATCAGCAATTTGATATTTCATCTCATTTCAAATGTTGATTCAGAATCTAGAAAAAAAAACTCAAACTTTCAAACAATCAAAGCAAATAGATTTTTTAATTTCTCACTTTCTAGACTCGAAAAGATTAACTTTTCAAACCAATTAAAAGGTGATTTTTATACTAATTAAGTAAAGGTTGATCTTCAGATTTACTTACTATTTTCAATTTTTTCAACTTTTATTTCGCACTGCATTTCCACTGAGCTCATAAGTTAGCTAAATGTTCAAGAGGCAAAGCACAATAAAGACATAAATAACTGTTCCGTTTGAAGCTCAAGTTTTGATGAACTGCAAAGTAAAGGTTTTTGACTGAACCTGAAAGTGTTGAGCAAATTAATAAACTTGTAAAACTGTGAAGATGATGGAAAAGAGGTGAAATTAAATTTCCGATTGTAATCAAGAAAACATTTTCCTTCCGTTGTAATGATAATGACAAACTTGATACCAATAATGGTGAAAAATGCTTTTAAAATCAACATGTGAATCGCTTTAATTGCATCAAAGACTATTAAACTTGAAATTAAATGAAACATAACAAAACTGGAAAGCAATTTGTTCATCAAAAAAGTCTCATAAGCAACAAAATCACAAATTAAATGATGAGTTTTGAAACAAATGAACAAAAGTCCATTTCTCTTTCAACCTGTAAAACTAACAATGGATTGCGATTCATGAAACGAACCTCTAGTATAATCGATTTTCATGAATTTTTATAAACACAATGTAAATATATTTCAGGGTAAACAAAGGGTAGAGTGAAAATGATTGATGAAATGGAAAAGGAAAATTGAATTGAAAATCGATTTTCCTTTTTACTGTCATTTTTCCAGTCAAGAAATTTGACCCTATTATCCAGAGTAAATGGTATGAGAAAAAAAGACACGAAAATAGGTGAGCATATAACGATGAAGATAAATGTTCAAAGGTAAAAATGATGAGGATGATGAGAAGGTTGATAGGAAATGTGAATAAAGAAAACGTGAATTGAACAAAAAGGACGGATATAAGTAAATTGATGTTCAGAAAGTTGATATAATAATTTTAGAGCATGATATTTGTTTTCCTTTCATCACAGTTTACACATGATTATTTTGTTTCATTTCAAGATATCTTCATCTTTCCTCTTTTTCTCATAATAAGCTTTCACCTTCATCTCAACAGATTAACTTCTCTGTTACTTTTAATCACTTTTGTACTTGTACAGTTGGCAAAAGAAAAAACAGCAAAAATGGTTTCATGATGATCATGATGATTACCGGGTAACAGTAATGGTTAACTTTTCAGTGTGTAGAAGCAGATAATAGAGAAAATTTTCAACTGATTGGGACATTTGAGGTTAACAAGTTAACACAAAGCTACAGAGAAAAGGATCGTTAAAAGGATGAATAAGATGATGTTGTTGATGTTGTTGATGATGCTATTTTGGTGCACAAAAAAGCTATCAAGAGGTTAAAGAGTAAAGAGAGAAAAATCAATTATGTTGAATATAAATTGCGATGGATTTAAGTGAAAATGGAGATACTTTGTAAAGATGAAAAACCAATTTTCCTTTTCAATATCATTTAACGTTAAAGATGAGAAAAGAAAGAAAAGAAACATTTCCCATTTTAGCTGTTTTCTTCTTTTCCTTTTTCTCTCTTCTTCTTCTTCTTTTTTGTCCATGACACAAAGAAATAGAAGTAAGATGATGAGGAAGACAAGCTACAATGTTACAAAAGAAGGACCAACCTTGAGAGCAATCACTTCCCATCCATCGTGGTTCACAAATACATTGACCTGTTTCAATGACGAATGTCCCATGACGAGAACAATCCTGTAAACAGCGTAATGATTCGGAATCAAGTTCTGAACAATCGGCTCCTTTCCATCCTTTACTACAAAGACAAAGTCCATTGAAACAGACACCATGTCCAGTACAATCAGGATCCAGACAATCAACTGTAACAAAAGATGAAAAAATTTAGTCAAAATCAAAGTCAATGTTGAAATTTCAATAATTGCCAAAACCAAATGAAAATTTTAACTGTAAACATTTTAATGTTGATCAAAATGTTGACCAGAAAATTTGAATACTTTTCTTATTTAACATACAAAAGATCTTTTATCGAATGAGTTGATCTTTTTGTCGTTTCATTTTATGTTGGTTTCGCTATTTGTCAAGAATCTTTATTCCTGGTGAATATTACATGAGACAATAATGAATCATTTAGACTGGTTAACCATAAAGTTGAACTACAGACGAACCAAATTTTCAATCTTGATCTATTTACCAATTCAATGTTAATCCAAATGCATGATGATAGTCATATATTATAGAGGATAAAATCAAATCCAAGAGTAAAACCATATATCAAGAGTTGATTTATTCAATTTCTCACTTTTGTCGAAGGAAGGAGAGAGAGAAAAGAGAAACTTTTTTTGCTTCCATGTTCACCATGAACTGAAACTTTGTATCTTCACCAACCTTTCCTGGTAAACTTTAACCAGTCAAGTTATCGATTTTTCCCCTTTTCTCTCTGCTCTCTCCTTTGCCTTTACCAGTTAACACACAAAACCAGAGTCTTTTGCTTTCCTCTTTTTTTTCTTCCTCTTCCTTTCCCTTCTCCTGAAAAGTTCATTCCATGAAGATGGCAAAGAATGATGAAGAATAAGAAACATCTGATGAATCTTTTTTATTCCGTTTTTTCAAGATTGTTAACAAGAATTTCAACAATCATTCTTTTATCCTTTCTTATTCAGTGAATCATGATGCAAAGTGTTAAAGAGTTTGGCAAAAAAAGTAATCCTTTTATCATCAATCCACATGGAAAATTAAGTTTCTGATGGAGAAAAAGTTCATTTCAATCTTTTCTTCATTTCACATTTAATCTGGAAATTCGTTTGATTATTGATCAATTGCTATTTCAATTGTTATTCCCAGTCATCAGTTTCAATTTGCATTTCATTTCGATATTTAAAGTGAAACATTTTTTCCATTGAATAATTGCTTTGATTGAAAAGTGTTTCTCATGAGATTAATTGCTTCAATCATGTTTAGCTTCACTTACATTGAGCATTTTTATTGACTTCAACTTTAAAAATTGAAATAAATAAATAACTTTAAAATGTTGGCAACTTTTATCACCATTTGGGTAAAATTGGTTGTTGACATTGAAGCGAAAATGAAAGCTGCTTTTAAATGGTTTTGAGCAAATAATGAAATGTTTGTGTAAATCTTTGAATCTTGCTTCTTACCTTCTTCACAGTGTTGACCTTTGTAACCGGGAAAACAGTGACACTGCCCATCAGTACAATCACCGTGTCCACTGCAATCTCTGGATTCACATTCTTCTTCCCTTAATTGGCACTCTTTTCCCTTCCAACCGGCCTCACATTGGCAAGATCCTTTACTGTAAACTCCACGTCCGGAGCAAAGTATTGGACAAATCTTCAATTCGGATTGACTTGCAACTTCTTCTTCACAGTGTTGACCTTTATACCCTGGATAACAGTGACATGAACCTTGAATACATTCACCATGTTCATTACAATCACTTATTTCACATTGGTCTTTCCTAATTTGGCACTCTTTTCCCTTCCAACCGGGTTCACATTGACAGACACCTTTATAATAAACTCCGTGTCCAGAGCAAAGTATGGGACAAGTTTCAGAGCGAGACACTTGAGACTCTGATGATGATGAATTGATGATGAGAAAAAATCGCCAATATCCATTGATAAAATATGCTAAAGCTGCTAATGAGGCAAGTGAGATGAGCATAAAGGTAATTGAAGCACATTTCCAGGAACAATGACGAGATACATTTTTCCGTATAGTTGAATATAATGAGGGTCGACCAACCGACTCATAGAGACCTGGGAAAGGTTCACGGATTCCATTGGAGACAGATCGTGACCTAAGGTCAAGAGTATTGGTCAGTAAAGTTGAATGGTTTGGTGGTAAAGCATAACATTGGCGTCCTGGTGAGAAGGCCAAGTGATTTGGCGGTAGAGCATAGCATTTGTGCTCTAAAATACAAGACATGGAAGATGAAAGGTAAAAGGACAGAGAAGAGAAGAGAAAAAGATATTAAATTTTGAAGTGAATATTACAAATATCAATGTTTGGTTCAAAAGAGTCTAAAAAGACAAAAATGGTAAACTGGTAAAAGGTCAGAAAATGGTAAAAATTACACACCGTTCATTAAGAGTAAAGGTTAGTGAACGAAATGGCGTACAAAATGGATTGACAAGAATTTAATCTTGCAATAAAATATTGATTTGATGAAATGTTGAGATGTAAATCAATTTACACTGTTACAATTGGTATCGGTGGGTTATCCATTTGCGTTGAAACTGTTATGTTATAATCACACAAGGATCACACATATGACACAAGAATCACAAGTAAAGCTGATGGTATTGATGATGATGAAGTTAGTATCCAAGAGAGGAAAAAAACAGTCGATGGAAGAAAAAAATTAAGATAAATTGAATTTAGTTAAAAAAGGAAACGTTTGTATTAATTTTTACTATTAGAAATGAAACATTTCAAAGAATCTCTTAGTTTCTCTTTTTTTTCAAACAAATGAAATAAAAAACCTAAAAGTTGAGTTTACTGTTTAAGTGGCAAAGTTGAACTAAACTTGATCTTCAAACAAATGAAACCTTCCCTTGCTTGAGCATGTCAAGTACAAACTTTTGCAACAACACCATCTATTGAAAGAAAGCAAGATTAAACCATTTCCAGTTTTCATTCCGAATGGACTCAGTGTCCATTAATTCATCTATGCAATCAAAAGATGACTTTAAAACTGACTAACTCAAGGAACTTGAGTCCAGATGTTTCAGACGCCATCTCGTTGGTAAAGTACCTGAATAAATATAGATTATTTGGTTAGAGAAAAGAGATTCTGAGGATGTTTTTCTCGTGGAAAGTCTGAGGTAATCTGAATAGATAGTGAAAGCGAGAAACAAGTCAATTTTACAACAGGAGTCTGTTCAATGTCTGTGAAGAGCATCGATTCTGGTGTTGGCTATTGTTCAGCGGCAAGTCGATCCAATACGCCTTCACCAACCACAATCAACGAAGATTCAACTGCCCCAATTGCCATTGAGATTAAGGGTGATAAACGATTCAATGGATTGACAATCAAAGATGAGGGAATCTATATGGATGAAACTATCGTCGTGATTCTTCTTGTTCAGCTTCTTCTTTCTCCACTAGTTGCAACTCGAGCTATTCAAGCTTTTCCAACTCCCATTCAAATCAACAGCATCACCATCATCATCATAATCATCCTTTTAACCCTCATCATGAATACCAATCTCAAGCATCTTTCCTTGCCTCTGGTTCAAGTCCATTAAGTTTTTTCTTTCCAAAAGCTCCTTCCAAAGTTGAAAAACATCCAGTTCGGTCAACTTGAAGTCAACTTCAAGTAGCCAAGCCTCAACTGCAAACGCAACATCACCAACACCCTCAATAGCAGTTGGCAATATTACAACGACAAATAGTTCAACCATGAGTACAAATTTTCAAAAAAGCAACTCTAGCAATCATCATCAGCACCATTCAAGCCACAGCAATCAATGGACAAGCTTATTACAACGATCAAGATAGATTTTTCATGTTGATATTGTTAAGTACTATTGTGTCTCAAGTTGAGCTATGTGCTTCCATTGTCGTCTTTCAATCCATTAAAAACTTTAACAAATCGTTGAAGCTTACGAACACTTGGTCACTTTGCTTTGAATTTAGTTTCTCCTTTTCCTTTTGATCTCAACAAATGTTGGATAAATGTTGGCAAAGTGTTTTGTATGATGATAGCGATGATGAATCATGTACAAGTTTGAATGAAAATGAAATTCGAGCAAACGAAAGAGAAAACATTTGCGTCTTTTGAGTTTCTTTTGCGCTTTTCAAAGACGAACAAATCATGATCACTTTACAAGTTGACAGTTGCTATTATCATCGGTAAAAGCAACACTGACCGGAAAGTCAATTGAAACTCATTTTACCCAAAGTCGACTTGTTGAATGGTTACAATAAACTTGATTTATGGTTTGCTTTAGTTTCAATAAAAGTTTGTAACTAACAAAAAGCTCACATGAAATACATGAGAAAATTAAAGAATCAAAAAATTGCTGAACAGAGTTTGTTTGCCTTTTGACAAACAGATTTTAAATGATTAATTAATAAACAAGTGCAACTAAAAATTGAACCATAAGCTGTTGCTAATTACTCAGTAACTACTGAAAGAATTAATTATTTTCATTGATTGAGGACTGATAATGTTCTATGATTAACGGCTTTTTACATCCGAACAAAGTCAAACAAAAGAGTTCGTAAAATTTGATTTTTACTCTACACTCAAATCGAGCATTTCATTTGTAAAACGTTTGGTTTTTCAACTGATCTTTTGATAATTGAACATTGATTTTTTAAAACTTTCAATCTTCGGTTCTGATCAATTTCGGACAAATTTCGATGTATTATGATCAATGTTTTTAATACCTCGCTATGAGTTGCAGTTAAGTAAATATTTTCATTACTGTAATAGCATGATTGAACAAAATTTGCAGAGTATTGCAAATCTGATAATTTTAATGAAATCAAAATGTAAACATTAGCTATTGTATAGTTAAGAAATTATTAGCCCAATGAGACTCTTTCGTTGAGTTCCGTTGTTATTACAATTAATTACATTTGCTTTTGTAATCATTTACTTTTTCTCCCTTTACCTGTTCTCATCATCCCAATCCACGTGATTAAAACCTGGTAACTGTGAATTTTCAGGTAACAACTACCATGAAGTAGTTTAATTTAAAGCAAAACAACGTGTCTGTTAACAATTGTTTGTCTACTTTATTATGTTTTTCATCATCAGTTCCCTCTTACCTTTCATCAAATATAGAAGAAGAAAACCTTTTTATATCTCAATTTTAAATGTTCAGGTATAACCGGGACTTGTAGCGTGATGTTGAAAAAACAATGGCAACACGATGGATAAAAAAGGTAAAGAGAAATCCATTTCAATGGAAGTTTCGACAAACATTGAATTTTTTTGCAAATTAAAATGTTCAACTTTACCAAAATCAGAAATTGAACTTTAATTTATTAAACCTAATAATGTGATGAACGATATAACGGTGCAACTGATACTGAAAATATAGCGATTTTTGCCGCAATAATAATGCAAAATAACTCGACAATGTCCAAGTTTAATCTCCTGAAGTCGAAAATTTTGTATTGACTTTTCTCAACCCGTTACTATTGTTTGCTTATTTTCATCAGATGATGCTTATTTCATTTTTGACAACACAAAATGAACATTAAAAGCTGGCTAAGTTGACAATAATTGTTTTTGATTGAATCATTTATCTGTATGCAGGTGAATCAATATTATTTCAAGGGCAATCTAGTCATTGACAACAGCATTTCACTTGAATTCATTTACTGTTAACTAAAAGCTCAGTGTCTGTTATCAAATGGAACAAATTTTTCTGCTCAATTGTTAAGTTAATAAAAAAATGACCTACAATTGAAAATGTTATCCCATACTTTGAAGCAAATTAAAGGTTAAATGTTTAATAACTTACACGGTCAACATTTAATATCAACAAATGAAGCTTTCCATCTATCTTCACTTTCTCATTGCAGTTGTATCACTTGGTCGAGTCAATTGTTCGTGGAGTTTACGCCAGCTTCTTGACCAACAACATTGGATCAATTTAAGCTCATGGTTTGACCCAATCAACACTTACACCACTTACCTAAACCCAATACCAATACCAATCTTCGCCATTTACCCACCATTGCCATACCATTTACCCTTTCCATCAGCATTGCCTCAACCTGATCCATCGGCACAGTCACCCTTGTCCACATCTACACCCGATGAGACAACTCGCTTCTTTGCAAGTCAAACCTGTCCCTTCTAGTATACAACCCAGTTCTCATCTGAATGTACCTGTGATGGACCCAGTTCATATCCAATCGTGACTTGTGCTTCAAAATCAGCCAACCTTGATCTACCCATTGGTAACATTGTTAAAGCCCTTGATTACCCATCATTGGGTCGTCTATCACTACTGAATGTGTCTATTGATCTAAGTCAACCTTTGACAAGTAAACCCATTCAACACTTGCGTCTAGTCAAAGTAGCCTGGCCTTCATCTCTTGAACCTTTTTCAGTAAACTCATTGAGATACTCTTTGCGTCGACTTGAAATTATCTCATCAGGTCTTACATCGTTTCCTTTCTCATTTATTTCATCAAATTATTATCTTCTTAAGGATATTGACTTGCGTTACAATTCATTTCAATCAATTCCTGATTTTGCCTTCTCATTCAATTCAGCCTTAGAGACAATTGATTTATCCCATAATGACATTAGTTACCTTGGTTCTTATGCATTTGCACAACTACCAAACCTGAGGCAGCTCATTTTGTCACACAACAAGTTGAAAGTGGTCAATAATTATGCTCTAGCTGCAAACCACAATGTAAACCGTAACAACCTTTTAATTGACTTGACTTATAATAAAATGTTTCATCTGGCAACCGGAACATTTGACAATCAAACTCCAACTTATCTCGATCTAAGACACAACTCTCTAGTCTCACTTGACCAAACTGTCTTTCTCGACCTAATCAAACGCATGTCAATGCAACCAGAGGGTCAAATTAACGTCACTGACAATTCATTTCAATGTACCTGTAAACGAACCCGTTGGTTGGTTGAGCTTCGAAAAGAAGAGAAAACTGTCATTCAAGGATTCACCTGTAAATTTACTGCTGGAAATGATAAAGATTTACTTTCGTTGACACTGAACGATATCAATTGTTAAATCGTGTAAAAATATATAACAAATTTAAAATTCATTTGCTTAAAGATTCATTTAAAACCAAAGGAAAATGAAATATTAGAAACTCAAATCAACTTCATCTCAACATTAGCTTTAAGCTGAAACAATCTATTTTCATACACAACTTCAGATCATCATTCATTGTTTAAGCACTTGTACAGCTTGAAAAGCTATTTTTCAATTTCGAATCAAGTTCCATATTTTTTCAAGTTCATTTCTTCAAACTTTTCCTTTTGTCCATTGTATTGGAAAGTTGAATTTAAGATCTGATTGAAACCTTATTTACTTTGAGTTCAATCTTCAAATGAATCCAGTCTAATTATTATTAATAGTTGCAATTGCAATTTCAAAAGCCACAAAACCTCAGAGGTTGACGCGACAAAAACTCGAAGCTGTTAATTGTCAAATGAGTCGAGCTGATTTTTACCTTCAAATGTCATCTTTGGTCTTGACATAACCTAATGAGTCATGAAAACTCTACAAGCAAAAGCTGTACAAATAATACAAAATAACTCAATGATTTAAACTTTAAATGAGCAAATGAACTCAATCTGTAGACTTGAAAGTTGGCTAAAAATGACTTTAGGCCCAGTTTTGTGTAAACCAACTCATTACATTTCAAGCAATTTTTAACAATCCTTTTTGTCTTTCTTTTTTGTAAGCAACTTTGAATAAAATTTCATCCTTAATAGTCATTTCAATGAAACAATTAGACTAATTTTAATTTACTCTAATAAATCTCGTTACTTTTTGTCTTCCTCTTTTGCTCATTAAATTATCCTGAAAAGGGAAACTAATGGGAATGATGAAAAGATTTTGAAACTGAACGATTCTGAAGAAAAGCCTGTTGCAGAAATAATTTTTTTGCTCTTTTCTTTCATCTCAATCTTGTTAGTATTTTCAATGAACATAAGATGATGAAGAAGATTGAAGCTTGGTGAAAAGAAATGATCATTTGAAGCATAAAATGATATTGGTTTCCAGTTTAGTGATTCAAACATGATCATCATCATTGTCAGTGTATAAGACAAAAAAAGGCTCAAAATATTTTACTATTGATATTATTCAAAAGCATTGAAAGAAGATGAAGAAAAAAAAAGTGAAAGAAAAAAAAGAAAAGCTCAAGAGAAACAAGCAGATTAGATTGATTAAAAGAAGAGGAAGAAAAGAAAAGGTGAAGAGAATGATGATGATGTTAATTTAATAGCATCTTATAGCATTTTTCATGGTAAAAAGATAATGGAATTAGTAGGAAACGAAGAAAAGGTAAAATGATGTAAACTCAACAGGTAAGTTACTAGATTAACATTTTACGATTCAAGTTTAGATTGGATTGTGAAGAAGTAAAATGATTACTTCAATTGATAATCTTTTAATGTCGATATTCAAATGAGCTGTTATTGCATCAAGAAATGTTGAGAAGATGAAGAGGAGGAAGATGAGCATGAGAACAATTGTAAAATTGAAATTCTGTGTTTTGTTGCCTTTTCTTTCCTTTAATAACAAGCAATGAGATTTATTTGCTTCAAGACACAAAAAAGCATTTTTCAACAATAATGAGATGAGAAAAGGAGAAAAGATAAAAAAATGAACCAAAAAAAAGGGTAAAGTGAAGAGACAATGCATTTTGAAATTGTATATGAAATGGTGAGCAAGGAAAGGATCAAGAGTAAATATGTAAAGACAAGGAGTAGTGATGGAACGAATCGACCCTTAGGCCTTGGCATTGTGAGCATCAATTTTACTCTTATTTTGGGCTTCCTTTTTGTGCTTCCAAACCTCTAAATTTTCTTGTCAAATTCCTTAGCGAGCAGACTTTTGTGAAAAGAGGAAAAGGCTACAAAATGAGAGCAACAAAAATGCTCATCTTTCTTCTTCTTCTTTGTCTTCTTCCCTTGATGACATTGATACAATCATTAGCCATCTTCTTGTAAGCTTTTCCCATTTTCATTCTCACTTGACTTTTTTGTTTGCTGCCCATTTTCATCGTATTCACATTAGCGGTTGTCTTCAATTTTCAGGCCGATAAGTTGAGACTCTTTTGGTTTGGTTCAACTTTGCAGACTGGTTAAAGTGCTAAACTTAGATACGGTTATCAGTAATATGGATGGTTAGTAATCATTTGATTGTCAAATAGCCAATTAATTATCTTTGTTCAACTGCTCATTATAAGTAAATCACGGGATGCAAGGGAAAATGATGCAAGTTTTTTTGTTGGTAGACTGGAGAGGAAAAAAGGATTAAATGGTAAACAGTAAAAGAGACTGTAAAAGTCATCATAAGGTGAGCTATTAATGTTGGTTAAATTCAATGGTAAAGCTATAAATAACATGACTTTATTTTCAGTGAACACAAAAGTAAACAAGCAAATTACTGAGAAACAAAAAAATAGTAAAAATATCGTGTTGAGCCTACACCTTTAAACTAAATGAGCACAGCGAATCATAAAAAAGGATAATTTTAAATAATTTACGCGCAAACATGATCATGTTAAGCAATTTGTTTAACCTCGTTCAATGGGTCATTCAAAGTGGAAATTTGGTTATCTCGTTAAATGATGGAAATCCCGATCAGCACACAATCTTGTTGAATCTGTCCATTTCTTCACTTCTTTGTTTTCCTTTGGATTTTTAACGAAAGTTTATACTGTTAAATTACATCAATTATTGTCAACCACAATTATCAACCCGTAGTCAGTGTTTAGCTTTGCAAGTCTTGTCAATTTCATGTCACAATAATAATGCAAAATAATCTCATTACATTAATATGTTTCTCTGAACTGGGAATCGGTTTTTAAAAAACGTTGCATCTTCAATTGTATGATGTGTTAGAAGTGATTGACTCGCAAGATAAGAAACAAAGAAACTAATCTTTTGATCACATCTCAGATTAAAGCCATTTTTAACGGCCTTTTAAGTTTATGAGTTGAAAAATACACTTTTGAAATTGAAAAGGTTCAACTTGATAATTAGAGTTAAGAAAACAAAAATGTTTCAGTTTGTCAAAATAAAATGATTTTTGTCAGATTGAACAAAATTTAACATAAAAATGAAAAAAAATCATTGAGCAAGACGAAGGTATCTGACATTAACCAGCGTGTTAAAGGATCGAAAAGATTTGCATGCACAATGAAATGGTCAATTTCGTTCTGCGACCCGCCAAACTAGCTCAATTTGCGATAACTATGCTTTTCTTCTATCGTTATTTATAAGGTGCGCTAACCAGAGGTAAATTGATAAAACTCATCAAACTCTCTTTTAACTCTTAATAATGAATGTCTGGTCATTTGAAAAAAGCAATTAAAATGCTTTACATTAAATGAAAACATAGTAAAGACCCTTGGACCCTAAGATTGGAAGCATCATCAGACTGACTTGACCGCTTCGCTCTGTATTTTATTATTAATATTACCTTGCACTAAAGACAACTAGAGGAAGCATAAACCTTTCATGAAAACTCTGATTTCAGTAAAAAAAATTGAAACCTTCAACAAAACTATAAATATTGAATTGAAAGTGCTAAAGAAGGCTGAACACAAAACTCTTTGACTTCATTTAGTAATCTTTTGGTTGTGAGTTTTCAATGACAATTGGCTGTTACTCGAGTAAGAAATGGGCGATATTACAGTTCATCTTGTAACTTGTATTTCATTTTCATTTTGAAAACTCATTCAAGAAAAATGCTTCATTTCTTCCTCATCCAAACTTAGTTTATACTTATCGCTCTGATAAACCTTAATCTAGCACAAAGCCGAAAATTATTATTACCGAATCTGGCAATTTTCTTAGATTGAAAGTGATATTCAATAGATGTATTCAGAGGACAACAGGGATGGAAATATTTACTCTAATTTCATCCTCAAACAGCTCATCTTTTTTCATCATAAGTGTGGTCACAAATCAACACATATTAATATATCCATAGAAATTGAAAGAGGGAAAAAAGTTAATGTTTATTTATTTTTGTTGTAAAATAACATTTGGAGCATTCTTGGCGTAAGGATGAAGCAAAGATGAAAACGAATGACCAGCAGACTCTTATGATAATGGGCTCAATAATAATGATAATAATGGTGAGGCAGCAACAATAAAGCTAATGATAATGATTAGAGTGAATGAGGGGCGAATGGCGAGAACGTTCAAAGAGCCATCTTGTTCATTTAAATATACAAAAACTTTGGGTAAACTTATTTTTACCATTTCCTTAGTTACATAATGATACTTATTTTAAGAGAAACCATTCTTTTCATATAAAAACTCCAACGCCTTTTCGGCTTGTGAAGCATTAGAAGGAAAAAAAAGTCAAAAAATTTCTTTATTCTCATCTTTATCGACTTTACTCTTCAAGTTGAAATGCTTACCTAGATCATCATAATCATCATCATCATCTTGGGTAAAATAAATAATGAAATTTTGGTAGCCTTTAATTTACCAAATAATTCATCACATTCATTGCGCGATTCATCTCATTACTTTATTGAACAGAAAAAAAGATGATGATGAAAGTGACAATGGCAAAGCTACATGAAAAGTGTGAGCAAAAAAAAGAAACTTTGATGAGAATATTCTTCATTTTTTAAGGTTTTAGTCATCAATAATGATTCTCATGAAGATGAGTTTAGACTTACATTTTTTATGCTCTTTTTTGATCAGGAAAGTATCAAGGTGAAACTACCATTTCACAAGATAACTGAGATTAGCATGAAATTTTCTTTGACATTAACTTCGAATAAGTTTACAACTTTTCCTGGTTCAAAAAAGAATCTTCGAAATCTTCGCTTTTTGCTCTTATTCGCGGATAAATTAAAAGTAAATGAGGCTGAATAGTCATTTAAGTTTACTATAAAGATGAAGTTGATTCCTTGACAAACAAAGAGGTAAAAGTGAAGGTGTTTGTAGGCGCTTCTTTTGTCGTCAATTAATTATGAAAAGTTACAAAGCTAAAACTGTTGGTTTAATTATTTGAAGCTGTCGGGCTCAATTCAGCTTTAGTCAAATGATTCAACGATACTTTTGTTATAGGCGTTTCAGTTTGCTACAACTAATCAAACCTGATCTTGGCGTGAGCGTATCTTGAAGGGTGTTACATTTAAAGGTGAAAAATATTAACTAATAGTAACTGAGAAAAGATTATCATACTTTGTATTCATTATTTTGAGATTTCCAGATGATCGCAATTAAGCAAGAGCGCATTTTTGATCTGATTAGAAACTAGTAGAAATGAAAGATTTTAGTTTTATCTTTGAGATGATCTACTGCTTTTCAAATTTTATCGAGTTTCATGCTCTTCATCACCAAGCCCACTGCATGTTTAGATTGGTTCATTTGTATTTTAACAGCTATTAAAGTAAAACATTGTTGTTAAATTAATCTAAACGTTTGCCATCAATTGAACTTTTTAAAAATTGTTTCATTTTCTTTCTCATATCCACCAAGAGGAACATGGAAGCGGAATGGATGGCGATCAATTTAATTACATTGCAATTTGTGAACAATAAATCATTTTGCTATTTATTTCCATCACCCTGAATTTATGGTTAATCTTGCGCTATCCAAACTAGTTTATCATGACAATTCTGAGTTCTGGCGATAAAAACTCAAATGAAATAAATAATGAAACCTTTGAAAAGTAATTAACTTGTTATGTGTTGACAGTAAACACATAAAAGGTTGTCACACAAAAAAAGATTCACAAT